GTTTTTATTTTAATTTCGACCGCCAACCACGCAAAGCCAAGCTTTCTCTCGAGTGGCATTTGCTAAAACGTCCCCAAATGAGCAGGACCCTCCGGGAAAGAAAAAAAACATAACAAAAAGAGTCGCAGCTCAGTGAATCTTTCCCCAGCGAGGGGATGGGGGGTAAACAATTGGCAGTGTTAAACACTGCAGCGGCAGTAATAGTCGTCGTCGTTGTAAACACGTTTCTGTAATGAAGTAATGCCACTTTATTTCCTCCTGTATGCTGCCGTGTGTTTTTATGTCGATGATGAAGTAGACTTCGCTACGGACGCTTGCCTTTCTTGCCTTCCCCCCCCACTCGCTCTCCTCCCACGCGCCCACCCCCCTTCCGCCCCCCGTTGTCCGCTACAAGAGGATGAAATGCGTGGAGCATGATTCATTGCCTGCCGTTGGGTTTTTCCCCCCCTCTCCCCTTCTCTCCTTCCCTCCATTCTCGCCCATTTTATCTCAGAATCCTTGAAGGTTGGAGACTGGGGAGAAGTCAGCCGTAAGGCACGGCTTAGAATTGTTAACGTGCGGTTGGAGACGCACGGAGCCCCCCCCCCCCACCACCTCGCGCGCGTCGGACGAGCGAGACGGCGGAGCGCTGGGCGGTGTGTTTAGTCATCGCTGTAAATTCCATGAGCCACGATTCCGCCTAAGCCGCTCGAAGCGGCAACAAATTAAGTAGCGCTCAGAAAATTCAGTCGTCGAGAGCACCGCGGGCCTTCTGGGAAATACTGGACATCTGTGGACAAGAAAAGAGCTCTCTAGCTCATCGGATTCCTCCGGTGGTAATTAAATTGATTCTGATTCTGAAAAGGAACAAAAAATACGTCGCAGGGAATGGCGGAGCCAGGATTTTCAGGTAGGGGTGGGGGCAACCCCTCCAGCAATGAAACACGATAGAGGAGTTGTTAGTAAGCAAGGACTTGTCCCTTGCTTTTTCTTCGAGGGGTGTGCGGCGATGGCTCAGCCGTCGATCGAGGGTCGAGTTCGAACCGCGTTGTGTGATCGGCATCGCGCTCGCTGAAGGTGTTGATGCCTCCAGGGAAGTCGTGTGGACTGTAGACACAACTGCGCACAATTCTGTGAGTCACGTATAACCGCTTTGCCGTTACTTATTGCTAATTATTGACTCAGACTATTATCCTATCATCTCATAGAGTCCCTGGCACGGAATAATATGCTACACAGTGGCAGTGAGGGTCGCAAAATGCCGATTTATTACTAATGAACCTCAATGATCTGATCGAAATTAGGGATTTCGATCGGATCATTGGGGGGGGGGGGGGCACGTGCCACCCCCACGGAGCAATGGCCCTTCGATTCAAGGCACCGCTGTTGACGAACGTTTTCGAGTTGGTTTTTGTTTTCGCCACGCGTGCTTGTGTGCACCACCAATACCAGCAGCATCACCAAGTAGTTTAAGTTTATAAGGCAGGAAGCTTTGTGGAGCGGCGGCACGGTGGTTGTGAACACGAGTTCCGAGTTCGATTCCCAGCCATGGCTCACGTCGGTTGCGAGTGAGAGGTGAACCGGTCCGGGCTTCCCCTTCACTCACCTGCCATAGCCTGCGTGGTGAAGTATGGTCAAACAACCCCGTGACTGGCGCGGCGTGGGGCGGCCTTCAGCAGTGCACAAACCACCATCATCACGCGAAACTCCGGTCATCTTCGCAGCAGCGGCTCTTGAAGCCATCGGACAAAGACGGCGATCACCGCGTCTCGCAATTTTGGATGCGCTTCTGCGGCCGTCTGGAACGCTCTTCCTTCCCGATATTAGGAGCTGTCATCTGCGTTGAAAACGAACTTCTTTAGAACTGCTTTTTGTGTTTAGTTTATTGTCCTTACCCGCCCACCCCCGCACCTCCGATTAGCACGGTTGACTACGTATGGTGGGAAAGGAAGTTCAACGTAAATACACACACTCACAGACAAGACGAAAGGCCACCGATTCTTGACTCGAATCGCTTCGCTGAATCGTGGGCATTCCTCGCATTGCAGCGGTGGGGGGGCGGGGTGCATCATGACCGCCCCTGTCCCAACATTTTATCGGCAAAACTAAGAGCAATTTGTTCATGCGCCGTGACACCGAGTCGCATACCCACAGTATCCAACACACACACAGGTCATTGTGAATGACAGAGTCGTGTACGTTCTCGTGGTGTTCTAGAAGGGCTGGTCACACACATTGTCTCGCTTCGAACTATATCAAGTGCAGTATTTAAATGCCAACAGATAAAAAAAATATATATATAACGTGGGTGCCCAAAACGTATGGCCGAGAGAGAGGTCACTGGTTTTACTCATCGGGAAAGGGCTGAGGAGCCTAACGTTCTTCATTGCTTTAGTCCGCACGCTAAACGCTTACAGACACGCCATCTCCATTGGCTGCGAACTGGGACATTCTTATCGTGCGGGCGTGACACTGAAGCCCATGTGAAGCGGGCAAAGTCCGCCACCGGATTCTTCGTCGGTGAATGGGGATTGTGTTGCTTTGTGAGCGTGCTTGTGTCTGCACGCATGTGTCTGTGCATGTGTCTGTGCATGTGTCTCTGCATGTGTCTGTGCTTGTGTCTGTGCTTTGTGAGCGTGCTTGTGTCTGTCCTTGTGTCTGTGCATGTGTCTGTGCTTGTGTCTGTGCATGTGTCTGTGCATGTGTCTGTGCATGTGTCTGTGCTTGTGTCTGTGCTTTGTGAGCGTGCTTGTCTCTGTGCTTGTGTCTGTGCATGTGTCTGTGCATGTGTCTGTGCATGTGTCTGTGCATGTGTCTGTGCTTGTGTCTGTGCTTTGTGAGCGTGCTTGTGTCTGTGCTTGTGTCTGTGCATGTGTCTGTACATGTGTCTGTGCTTGTGTCTGTGCATGTGTCTGTGCATGTGTCTGTGCTTGTGTCTGTGCATGTGTCTGTGCATGTGTCTGTGCATGTCTGTGCATGTGTCTGTGCACGTGTCTGTGCACGTGTCTGTTCATGTGTCTGTGCACGTGTCTGTTCATGTGTCTGTGCACGTGTCTGTGCATGTGTCTGTGCACACATGTGTGCGGTGGTGCAGCGGTTTGCGCGCTGCGCTACAAACCCGGCTACCCGAGTTCGATTCCCGCGCACGGCCAACACCACCAGTGACGATTATCCGAGCCTATCCTGGGCCTCCCCTAGGTTGACTCGGCCTCAAAATGAATACTTAGTGCGGTGTGCAAACATCGCCACATGGGGACAAAGGTGACCGGGCGTGGTGTTGACCACCCACCCCCCTCGTGTGCCGTGCCGGCCTTCAAAGGTGCTCGTTAACAGCACTTGCCCCAACAGTATGTTAAGGTTATATGGGGGACCTTTGTCTTTGTGCGCGTGGCTGCCACATCCACGTCCGTCGAGGTTTGTTCCCTCGCGTCGTCCTCGTGCGTCCCAAAAGCCTCGCCGGAGGGCGCAGGCGGTCTCCGTTGTATCGGCTGCTTGACGCGGCTACGTTCAGGTGTGCGAGCTCCTCTTTGCGAGCCTGCAGACACGTTCACGTGTGGGGTGGCACGGTGTCTCTGGCAGTCCGGCGATTCTGTCTTTGCTTACGAATGAGGGCGAGTGCCAGCAGATATTTTTTGGCACTTTGCTACGAATGGATTAACATGATGACGATCGCTTGTGTTGCAATCGAAACGTCGTGATTTATTTGATTTTATTTCGATTTAAAGCTTTCGTGACTGCAGGGATTCATCTTCTTGGTTCTTTCGGTAAAGTCACGTAGAAGGGAAGTAATGAAATAATTAAAATAAAACATAATAAAATAATTCTCACGACGTTTCGGCCACAACGGCTGCTTGCGTTGAGAATTATTTTATTATGTTTTATTTTTATTATTTTATTACTTCCCTTCTACGTGACTTTACCGAAAGAACCAAGAAGATTATTTGATTTTATGTCTCACTACGTGACTTTGCCGAAAGAACCAAAGAATGTGGATTCCTGCGGTCACGAAAGTTTCTTGGTATTTGCGCAAAGCGACTCCGGAGCGTACGTTTGGTTGTCGCGAGAAGATGCGTATGACTAGAACACCATGGTTAGCGTCGCTGTGGAGGTTTTTCCTAGGAAGGTAAATCAACGGACAATTGGCTCGTGCTTCCCACACCTGAAACGCCACTTAAATTTTTTTTTTACACATCTCACCGACCACATGGCCTTCTGGGAGTGATTTTTTTCTCCCCAACAGTGTTGGTTTAATACAGTCCAAGGGAACTCTGCACCGGTGTCGACATTCAGTGTCTGATGCAGCAGAGTCCCGGCACGCTTCAAACAATGCTGGTGAATTTGCCAGATGTTTTATGAATACGGGTCCTAGTTCAATTCCAATGTTAGCCTACGGGTAACATCAGTGGCGAGCGATATCTGAACTGGTCCTGAGCCGATACCCTTCCCCACAAATTGACCAGAGTGGTGAAGTATGGTCACCAACGATCCACAAATGCGACGGAGACATCACGACGATGCACCGCCCCGCTGCTCCCGACGCCGGATGTCTGGCTTGACCACCTGAACGTGAAATGATATTTGTTGCGCTGCATCTACAGAGCAAGAAGTCTTTGAGATAAGTTCATAAATGCCATGTGGATATGATACGTATGAGACAGACTGCAGCGTGTATGTTTGCAGGCGATGCTGCATGTGTGTGGTGCCTTGTGCAACTCCGCAGGATTGTGTCTGCGTGCGTCTGCGTGTGTGTCTGCGCGTCTGCGTGTGTGTCTGCGTGTGTGTCTGCATGTCTGCGTGTGTGTCTGCGTGCGTCTGCGTGTGTGTCTGCGCGTCTGCGTGTGTCTGCGTGTGTGTCTGCATGTCTGCGTGTGTGTCTGCGCGTCTGCGTGTGTGTTTGCTTGTGGGGAACAGCAGTGTGGCGGTTGGCGCGCTGCGCTACGAACCCGGCGACCCGAGTTCGATTCCCGCTCACGGCAACCACCGGTGACGATTGTCTGAACCGGTCCTGGGCCTCCACTAGGTTGACTCAGCCTCAAATTAGTACCTGGTGCGTTGTGTAAACATCCGCCACTGGGGAGACAAAGGCGGCCGGGCGTGGTGCTTGCCACCCACCCCCATGCGCGTACTGCTCCGGCCTTCATAGGCGCTACTCGCGAACAGCACTTGCTCCTACAGTCTGTTAACGCTATACGGGGGTGGGTGCATCTTTGTCTTTGTATGCGTGCCTCTAGGTGTTAGCGATGTGAGCGAGGGCCACCGCCATGCCGGGGATCGTGGTGTTTCGACGGCGTTGGTCGGTTGGAAGCGACGACCTCGTTCTTCCGGGGATCTTCCTCTTCCTCCTGCACGCCGTGTGGTAAACCCCCCGCCGCCATCCATCGGGCGGGCGTCCTACACCCGCTCGGCACACGCCGCGCGCGCTCAACGATCGACGTCAAACGTCCGGGCGCCGCGGGGGTGGGTGCGCGCAAAAGCCGTCCCCGCGGCCACTTTAATTTCACGCAGATGTCACGAATCGGTTGGTAGCAGAAATTGAAACGAACAACCCCGTCAAGGATAACGGTGCGTTTTTTTATTCTTACAAACGATAAGCATGACCCCCCCCATTGTCAATGAGGCACACCGATATGCGCGAAGAATAGATATTTAACTAATTACAGATTCGCAGCTTTAACGTACGAATCGCAACCACGGGCACGGGTGGAGGCAATGGCAGCTGAATGTTGTACGAAGAAGCGTAAAGAGAAGCTTCTCTGCTCGCTGTTCTCGTCAAGGAGCACGAACCACCACCATCACGCAAACTCCAGTCATCCTCGCAAGCAGCGGCTTTTGACGAAGCCATCGGACAAAGACGGCGATCACCGCGTCTCGCGATTTTGGATGAGCTTCTGCGGCCGTCTGGAACGCTCTTCCTTCCCGATATTAGCAGCTATGCACTTTTAATCTATGCTGAAAACGAACTGCTTTAGAACTGCTCTTTGTGTTTAGTTTATTGTCCTTACCCGCCCACCCCCGCACCTCCGATTAGCACGGTTGACTACGTATGGTGGGAAAGGAAGTTCATCATCATCAGCAGCAGTAGCAGCAGCAGCGGCTGCTTTGGCTAACCGTCGAATAAAGACGCTCACTGCATCGCGCGCTTTCGGATGCTCCTCTGCGGCCGTCTGGAACGCGCTTCCTGCCGATATTAGGAAGTCACTGGGAGCTACGGCACTTTAAAATCGTCGTCGTCGAGATGGACAAACTCATTTCTTTAGAACTGTGTGGCCAGGTCGCTTCTGAAAAAGAGAAATATAGCTCAGTGGGCTTTACCTGGTACAATAAAAATTAGTTTAGTTATTTTTCAGTTGGGATGTATTGACGCGCAAAACCCCAAGATGTAGCGCTCTCATGCATATTGTGGTTCTCGGCACTGATACTGGACACTGAGGTGTGAATAATTATAGTAATTATAATGATATACATTTCAACTCGTAACGCGCCGCATGCTACTCGCTCGCTCCCGGAGGCGCGAGGAGGAACCACAGACAAGCTGGAAGGGCGGCAGCAGCAGTCAATTCCCCTCCTCCAAGCTCTGCGGTCCTCTATATACCCAGGTGTTATCGGCCAATCAATGAGTGTGCATGTCCGTGGGAGGAATCCGGAGCATTTGGAGGAAACCCACGCGTTTGCGAGGGCACAACACTGAATCCCATACGGACAGGGGGAGATGACATTATTCCACACTTCCTGAACCGCCTTTCTCTCGGCGAGCCGGAGTGCGAGCACCTCCTCGACGCCCACGGCAAGGGCTGCTTTGTACGTACGTGCGTCGGACTTCTTTCGCACCGTACGTAGCCGACCGTGCTAATCGGAGGCACCGGGGGGGGGGGGGGGGGGGGCAGGGGGGGGGCAGGGACAACAAACCAAACCTCGCCACTTCCGCATTGCTAGATTACCAGGCCAAGTGCAACGTAGCCACCGACCACCGGAGCTTTCCAAAAAGGAAGTTGAAGGCGGTGGTTACGGATGGGTCCCGTGCGCTTTTGTCACAGGTGTCGGTGAGCCGGTGGGAAGTGAGCGAGCGGAGCGAGTGAGGCTGTGTGCGTCTTCGGCTTGTGATGGGCGCGTTGAATGGGGTTGTGAGGCTCAAGTCAAGAGACGTGTGCTGTTTGGCAGGCCGCCCACTCAACGGCCTAGTAAGAGTGGAGTTCCGCTGGGGCGTTCAAATTGTGTCGTGATAACGAGCGTTGCCCGTGTTATTTGGCAGTCCGGTGCGTCGTCACTCGAGGAAAGCAACTCGAAAATAATCTTCCTGGGCCCATTGAATACAGGCGGTGGCACGTCGGGGCGCGGGGAAATTTCATGGGAGGATCGGGTTGGCGAACTTGCAGGTTTTTTAAAACAAAACATGGCCGCGGTTTTAAACGTGCGATTCGAGCGGTGAGCAATCGTTCACGGATCGTGAGGTGGCTTTCGTTACGAGGCCGTAGGATGTCTACCAATGTAGGGCTCTTAAACGAGACGGTGGGGGGGGGGGGGGGGTGTAAATTGTCCACGGTTGTTGATCGGGGGGGGGGGGGCGGGGGGGGGTGGGGGTGTAAATTCTCTTGTGAAACACCTGCGGCCTTGCTTTGTTGAACCAGCTCGGACCGCACCTCGCCGTCCGCCCTGCGACGGCGTCGCCGCTCTCACGATTCGCGAGCGCTCCCAAGCCGCACGAAAGGTGCTCCCGGCCCGGCAGTCAAGAAACCGCGTTTTTTTCTCCACAAAACGACGAACGGTCGCCTTCAGAGTGACACGCTCCGTACGCAATCGCGCAAGACGACTTCCGGGGGCGGGGGGGGCAAAAAAAGCGATCGAGAGATTGCGTCGCGGTTGGTCGCGTCGAAACTTTGCCCCCCCTCCGCCGCCGACCCCAACCGCCCCAACGGTTGGCCGCCATCGCCACCATCGCCACCATCGCCGCCATCGCCGCCATCGCCGCCATCGCCACCATCGCCACCATCGCCGCCATCGCCGCCATCGCCGCCATCGCCACCATCGCCACCATCGCCGCCATCGCCGCCATCGCCACCATCGTCGCCATCGCCACCATCGCCACCATCGCCATCGCCGTCGGTGTCCGCTGTCACCACGGCGTCACGCGCGCGCTGTCCTCCCCCGCACCCCCCCCCCTCCCCCAGGCTCGTGGTGCTGTGCGTGGTGCTGTTCGGCGTCCACTTCGACGCGGGCAAGCTATGCTCGCCCACGCTCGTCGACCATGGCAAGGGCTACCTGGGCATCCTGCTGGCGTGCACCGTCGCCGAGGCGGCCATGGTGTGGATGAGCATGCGGGGCAGCATACTGTACACCGAGCCGCGGAGATTCATGCAGCACATCATCTACATCCGACTGGGTACGACGCGAGCGCGAGGGCACACCGCACGAGGAGCGTTCGGCCCTGCCGTCGCTTTTGTCGAAAAGCTTTATTTGTTATCTGTCAACAGCAACAACAACAACGTACGTGAGCTGGCGGGTGAGAGCCTCAGCTGTGATTAAATGTGGTGTCTCAGAGTGTGGTGAGTCGATGGCGTGAGCCCCGGTCGTCAATGACTTTCAGAGACCCGTAGACTCGCAAAGAGACTTGCCATAGAGACCCATAGACTCGCACAGAGACTTGCCATAAATACCTATAGACTCTCACAGAGACTTGCATAGAGACCCATAGACTCACAGAGAATTGCATAGAAACCCATAGACTCGCACAGATAATTGCATAGAGACCCATAGACCCGCACAGAGACTTGCCATAGATTCCTATAGACTCTCACAGAGACTTGCACAGAGACCCATAGACTCGCACAAACACTTGCATAGAGACCCATCAACTAACACAGAGACTTGCCATAGAGACCTATAAACTCACAGAGAAATGCATAGAAACCCATAGACTCGCACAGATAATTGCATAGAGACCCATAGACTCGCACAGAGACTTGCATAGAGACCCATAGACTCGCACAAACACTTGCATAGAGACCCATCAACTAACACAGAGACTTGCCATAGAGACCTATAAACTCACAGAGAAATGCATAGAAACCCATAGACTCGCAGAGATAATTGCATAGAGACCCATAGACTCGCACAAAGACTTGCACAGAGACCCATAGACTCGCACAAAGACTTGCATAGAGACCCATCAACTAACACAGAGACTTGCCATAGAGACCTATAAACTCACAGAGAATTGCATAGAAACCCATAGACTCGCAGAGATAATTGCATAGAGACCCATAGACTCGCACAAAGACTTGCACAGAGACCCATAGACTCGCACAAAGACTTGCATAGAGACCCATCAACTAACACAGAGACTTGCCATAGAGACCTATAAACTCACAGAGAATTGCATAGAAACCCATAGACTCGCAGAGATAATTGCATAGAGACCCATAGACTCGCACAAAGACTTGCACAGAGACCCATAGACTCGCACAAAGACTTGCACAGAGACCCATAGACTCGCACAGATAATTAATTGCATAGAGACCCATCGACTTGCATATGGCGAGTTGTGATTCAATCGGGGGTATCTCCGAGTGCCAGATATTTCTAGTTGACAATTACTGCAGAGACACCCATCACATAGGGCGGTGTGCACATCACTGTGCCGCCACTCCTCAGAGTTATATGAATTTGATACGATAACACAGACAGACAGATAAGGATATGATTGATTACTGTTAAACAAAAAAAACCTCATCAATTTTGACATTCAGGTGGCTCAACCACAAAAGGTTTCCCAGCGGAATGTTTTACAGCTCGCTTTGTGCGAGCGGGTACATTTCTCGCCGGCAAGACGTCGCCTAATAAACGGATGCCGCTCGGACAGCTGGGTGATATGGGTAAAGGAGAACCTTCTACGAACTCTGTCGGGCCATGAAGGGACATGACAACAAAATTCTTTTTCGGTAAAGTCACGTTGGTAAAAAATAAAATAAAATAAATGAAAAGAACTAAACGTAGTTGTTTTCATTTTTTTATTTTTTTTAAACAACTAAATTTAGTTGTTTTCATTTATTGTTGTTTTCATTTATTTTATTTTTTACTTACGTGACTTTACCGAAAAAACCAAAGAGTATGAATCCTTGCAGTCACGAAAGCTTCAAATCTAGAAACAACTTAATTTGCTACAAAATCATCGTGCGCTGTGGGCCAAGAACACTTAACGAGTAAACGGAGAGTTGAGGATCACCGTAGTCACCTAAAATAAAAGAGGATGTTTGATCGTTCGGGCCCAAATCCCTTCCGTTGCCAGTGCTTTCCCATCGGCGTTTGTTTGAGCCGGCAAAACAACCGGGAGCGCCGGCAAATGTCGTAGCAACGCGCCGGCAGTAGCGACGACGACGCGTCAAGGGATACCACGTTAATAACGGAATGTTTACGTAAGCTTCTTGGATCTCTCGCATCGTAGATCATTTACGAAAGCCGCGTCTCTTAAAAAAGAACAAACAAAAAACCTCAAGTGTTAAAATAATAAAATCGGCTGACTTAAGCCACTGAAGCTGCAATAACCGAATGAAAAAAACATGCCCCACCGAAGTGGGCAAAACCACTTCCGCGGGTGATTCGCACGCACAGGCACGCAACGGGACTGTGACCCACGCCACCTCCCCGCCATCGCCTCGCTCGGCGGCAAAGGGGAATTCAACGAGGGCCCCCCTCGGAGCCGGTCACGTGACCACGGGAAGCATCGGCACTGCTGCTGCTGCTGCTGCTACTACCACCGCACGGGCCGGGAGCAGCGACGGCCGTTAGCTTTGCCTCTGTGCTGCCCCGGGGGGTGACTGTCCGCAGCGAGTGTGGCTGCGGTGGTGTCTGCTCGCGCCATGCGGCAAGCGGCGCCTGGGTTCGAATCCCGATTCGGGTGCGAGCGTGATCGGTTCCCATTTCCACCGCATTTTGATAGCATTTCACGTGAACATACTCAGACACTGGCAGCTGTCCATCCCGCATCGGATTTTATGTTCCTGTCTGGCGGCATCTAGGCCCGTTTATCCTTGTTCTAATCAGCACAGTAACGTAGGCGTGACATTTACAACTTCATATTTATAAAACATTTTTCGTCATCATCATCGGGATCCTTGGGGCAGATGGCCCGTTGGTATCCACTGCACATTTTGTGCAGCGGACACCTACGGGCAAATCTGTCCACTACACCTGTAGCGGAGTGGACGCCTACACAGTGCCAAAATGTTTGAAGAACTACGGAGGCAATTGTATAGTTGCCTTTCAAACCATTCCTGCAATCTGGAGGCGGGAGGGGGGTACCTCTTAATCTACTGGTAAAGATGGGAAAAAGACAACAGAAGGAGAGGGAGTTTCCTTGTACAAATGCCTGCAGTCTAGCTCAGCGCACCACTTCAAGATGCCCGCAGCCACCGCCGCGGCAGGCAGTCGTGCGTGGCGAAAGCCCCGAGAGGAGAGGAGAACGTGTCAACGCGCGGTAGCCCACAGCCCACGACGACTACGCTTGCGAACGCTCGGAGTGATCGCTCCGCTCGCACTACTTTTGCGTGTTCGACATCCACATCCTCGCAAAGCTGGAGCTCGCCTCGCACGGCCTTGTTTTGCGGCATTGTTTTCTCGTCTTCTTTGGTCGCGAGCGGGTTCGTGTCCTCAAAATGTTTGTCCGTCCTTTGCTTACGGAGACAAAGGCAAACATTTCTCCCCGCCCCCCCCTCCCCTGTATAGCTTTTAACAAAAAGTTGGGGCAAGTGTTGTTTGCGAGCACCTATTAGGCTGGAACGGTACACGAGAGAGTGAGTGGTCAGGAGTGGAGTTTTAACAGACAAGGCCCAATCTGTGTTACCAAATCAGTCTTCAAATGTTGCAGACATTGGTGTTTATATCGTCTTTCATTCTTTCCTTACTTCTTTCGCACGCCCATTTGAAAAGCAACTTACAAAACATGGGGCTGTGCACTTTGAAATCTAGATTGAAAGTCATTTCTTTCCCACCGTACCTCCGATTACCACTGTTGGCTACGTACGGTGCGAAAGAAGTTCAACATACTGCTGTACATTTCCTCATGATAAGCCACTTCGTTGAGCTATCATTCGTGATGGCCAGGTCGCTGCTGAAAAAGAGCTACATAGCTCTGTGGGGCCTTACCTGGTAAAATAAAAATCGTTTAATAGTTTGAAAAGTTCGTTTTATTTGATGGATAGCCTCCGTGCCTCCTGTGCAAGCGTGCACTGGGCAGGGGTCAGTCACGTGGTGCACAGATTCACTTCGCCACGACAGGGCGGCTCTTTCATTGATACAAAGCGAATCCTCGCCACCGTTGTCTCTTCGCTGTCAGTCTGACCTCACGACCAAGCGGGCGACCGGACTGGCGACTATTAATAAAATGTCATTATAAAATGTTTCCACCTCGTTGGGCAGAACTCCGTCGTGGACAATTTGAATCACAATTTAAATTAATGCAAAAGGATCAAATTGAACACAAATTGCGACCGTAAATGTGCAAAGCGCGAGGCCGTTATTTCCCCAGAGATGAAATTAGCATCCAAATATTCTCTTCCTTGTGGAGTAAATTTCCGGGCCCCGCACGGCGAGTCCCTGCGTTGTGGACCGGCGGCACCACGGCGGCGTTGGCGGTTCGCTGCACGCGGCGCCCCTTGAACTCGGCCGCCTGAGTTCAATTCCCGGCCACGGCTCACGTCACGGATGAGCGATATTTGACCCGATCACGAGGTCGCCGGTTTACCGCTCCCCCCTCTCACACCCCCACCCCCCAATTCACGCTGACCACTGTGATGAAGTATGGTCAGACGGATCCCAACAAGCCGGCACGATGGTGGGCGACCTTCGTTCAGCGGTGGCTTTGACAAAGGGCTGTAAATCAATGACGGGGTGAGATGGGGTTGCGTATCAACTCAACTATTTTTACTTTACCTGTTCAAGGCCCACTGCGGCTACAGAGTTCTTTTTCAGAAGCGACCTGGCCACGAACGATAGCTCAACGAAGTGGCTTATCACGTGGAAATTTATAGCAGCCAAATAAACGTGGGCGGAAAAACTGGATGACCCGGATAAAAATCCACGGTGGCCACAAGGAGAGCGAGAGAGAGAGGGAGAGACATGCAAACTCTCCAAATATACAGGCATCAGGGTCAGGGTTGAGCCCACGATCTCTTGTAAACAAGGCGAGGTAGTTAACATCTCGCCACCGTGATGATGAGCATGAAAGGAAAGAAGGGAGTCGAGCAGAGATGATAGGAATAGGCACGAGAGGCCATGCTGCGTCTACTGTGGTGTCCCTGGCTCGTCCGCGCCGCGTTTTGTACGTAAGTTGAACTTATTTCGCACCGTCCGGAGCCAACCGTGCTGATCGGAGGTGCGGTGGAAGGGTGACGAACTAAAACACAAAAAGCACTTCCAAAGAAATGAGTTTTCAACCTCGATATAAATAACGCGATCGAAGCCAAAAACCTTTATTATGAATAATGCTGGCCGCGAAAGCCTGCGTGTTAAACTCGATTTAAAAATGCATAGCTCCAGTGGCTTTCCGAATAGTAGCACAACAACGCGCGTGTGACTCATTGTTGAGCAGCGGAAAGTAAGAGTCGCACAGCGCATAGGAATTTTCACAGTCGTCGATCAAGCTTTCGTCTTTTCTCCCCGTCGCCGGCATTACTTTCGCGTTGCAAGAAATCTACGGATAGCAGCACGGGCGACAGGATTAATGAATAACGGGGGATGACGTAACTCGCGAGACCTTTCGTTGTCATTTTAAGACGCGCGCACGCACGGCGCGCGGCCAAAATGCGACCCCGTCGACGAATGGCAATGTAGCATTTAATTTGTGAAAGCGTTACGTACGGAGATGTTTTATTTATCCTCTCGCTCTGAAATTATTCTCGTCTGCCCCGCCCCCCCCCCTGCCGCCCCCCCCCCCAACCTCTTAATTTACGCTCGCAATTTTACGCTCGCGTGGGATTGGCCTCGTTGCGCCCTGCGACGTGATTTAACGCGCGGCGAACGAGTTGTTGGGCGCGCGACTTCAGCGTCGCCCGACTCCGCCGCGGTTCCGAGCGAACGTTGCTTGACCTCGTTTCTGCTGGATACAAATTGGGTGGGGGGCGGTGGGCGGTGGGCGGTGGGGGGGAGGGAGAGAGCGGGGGTCCGTGGTGGGAGTTACCGAGATTGAACTTGGTGTCTGATCTGTCACACACTCCCGTCTGCAAATCCACGGGGATCTGCAGATTACAGGGAGGAGAATCGTAGCAGCCCCCCCACCCCCCCCACCGCTTCCTCTGACCCTGCAGAGAAGAAATGATTGTGGGTGAGTGGGTGGATGATGGATAAAAGGATCTAAAGGTTTTATTTTGAATATCATATCATCACCCCCCCCCCCCCTCCACCGACTTTACGAATTGGCTGTGTCGGCTGGTGCTGGCGGGTTTAGCGACACGTTTTTATTTACGCAATCTTACACCCCCCCCCCCCCAAAAAAAAAAAAAACCCTTGATTGTGATAAATATTTGCCGCGAAATTCAACTCTACGTGTTGAACCCATTGAAGCGCAGCCATGTTGTATAACTCGGCCCTCATTACAAGTACCACATTCTGCAGGCCGGTCTTCGAAGGCGGCTGTGTTTTTTTTTCCGGCTTTCGTGCTCACGCCCCGTTGTCCCTCGCACGGACGCGTCGGGCGGGCGGCCGGCGTGGGGACGAGCGAAGATGCTCGGCCCCGGCCAGAGGTCGCAAACGGGTTTTGATTTCTTACCCGTACCCGGCCGCACCAGGGTCGCAAACGGGTACCCTACCCGATACCCGGCCGTACCCGTACCCTACCCGTACCCGGCCGGGTACGGGTAGGGTACAGGTATCGGGTACCCGATTGCGACCTCTGGGATGAAGCCATGTTGCAGGCGCGGGTGAGTTGATTCTAGGAACTTGAATTGTGAGAAGAGACAAGACGTTGGGAAATGAGTGACAAACGGTGACTCACCAGTGACTCACGGACTACCCGTACCCGTACCCGGCCGCACCAGAGTCGCACACGGGTACCCGTACCCGTACCCGGCCGGGTACGGGTAGCCGGATATCGGGTAGGGTACGGGTATCGGGTACCCGGTTGCTACCTCTGGCCCCGGCTCTTTGACGTCTGATTTCCGCCCCGCCCCGCCTGCCCGTTTTCGTTTCAGCAATTCTCGTTGTGGAATTTGTCTACTCCATCGTCGGCGTGGTGTGGATACTCACGTACTACTTTTCCTGCGACGACACCGTGGCGCGCAGCGTCACCGCCGGTGAGTGAATCGGAATATTTATTGTCTTCATGATAAAAACGTTTTTTTGGGTTAGATCGCGTAAGTGTGTAAACGTGTCGTAACCCTCCACCACCCGACACAGCCAATTAGTAAGGGATTTGTCATGTAAATTACAAGCGAAACGTCGTACTCAAATTGTAAGCGTTGTGGATTTACTCTCCAACACACCGGTGGGCTGAAGTAGTAACTGATTAGCGTTTTGTTCACATGACAAACCCCTTACTAATGGGCTGCGTCGGATGGTGGAGGGTTACGCCACATTCATACTTGGGCGATCGAACCCAAAACACCTTTTACTATGATTAATATTGGTCGCGAAAGTGTCCTACGTGTTAAGCAGATTTATTGTTTACTTGGAGGAATTCGATGAGCTATGAAGGTCCACAGCTGTCCAGTAGGGGAATAGGGTTCGAACCGCTACAACAACAACAAACGGTACGAAAAACACGACAGGAGTGCAAAGTACAAGAAGTGCGTGGGGAGGGGTCACCTTTTTATTTTTAGTTCGCTTGTCATACGATCCATCGATTAAAACCAACGAGAATTTGCATTTTTTTACTCTCGCGTTGGGTTGCATATTTTTAAAAAGGTGTGCGCATTTATTTCACGTCGTTATCAACATCAACCGTGATTGCAGATTCTGCTGATTGCGAGCGCATTCATATTTCCCGTGTCAGAATCAGAATATGTATTACTCTTTGGTTCTTTCGGTAAAGTCGCGTATAAAGAGAAAGTAATAAATTAAATACTAGCATACGACGTTTCGATTGCAACACAAGCAATCATTATCATCAGGTATAAATGAAATAGAAACACAAATGTAGTTTACTTAGAAATGTAGTGTAATACAAGACAGAGTCGGATAACATAACAGTCAACACCCTACCTGGTTGATTACGTTCTTCCTGAGAATGCTAAATTTGAGAGAGGAAGAACGTAATCAACCAGGTAGGGTGTTGACTGTTATGTTATCCGACTCTCTGTTGTATTACATTACATTTCTATGTATACTAGATTTGTGTTTCTATTTCATTTATACCTGATGATTGCTTGTGTTGCAATCGAAACGTCGTATGCTAGTATTTAATTTATTATTTTCTCTTTATATGTGACTTTACCGAAAGAACCAAAGAGTAATTCCTGCAGTCACGAAAGCTCCAAATTAAGTTAGAATATGTATTGTATACTGGAGGAATCCGATGAGCTACAAAGCTCTGTTTCACAGGGGCAGGATGAAGCGGGATGCTCACGGTGGGGAGAGACCGGGTGTGGAGACAGGGGTAAGATGAAGCCGGGCAATCAGAGTCGTTGCTTCCGGCGGGGGAGAGGAGTGGACCGTGCCATCGCGAGCTTGTAAGGGTTGCTGACCCCATGCCCATAGCGGACATCTGTTGAAACGGAGCTCCATGGTTCGTCGGATGCCTCCGGCAGACTAAATAAAGATTCCGACCCCGAAAGATTCCGAGGTGTTGTCGTCGGTCACGAGATGCTCAAGTGTACGCCACGTGGGCAGCGAGCGGGTGATGTATTATCTCGGTGAGGCAATAGCTGCAGCAGTTGACGCTAAAGCGCCAATAGCTAACGAACACCTTCACGGGAAGTCTCAGTGGGGGGGATCGATGTACGATGAAAGTGCCCCGACACCCCCACCTCCTTCACCTGTGTCGTATTACTCTGATCACCCCCTCCTCCACGTGCGCTGTGCTCCAGAAACCTTGCGTCAGATCCCCTTGGTCGAACTCTGCTGAATGGGAGGGTCGCTCCTTCTCTGATGCTGCTGCTGCCGCCTCTGTCTAGAAACCCCCCTCTTCCCTTCCACTGTCTGAAACTCCAACGTCGCTCCCCCCTCCCTACCGCCGTTCAAGCCGTGACACGAGACCCTACGATGTATTTTCCCCACAGCGATCTCCGTCTCTCTGTCTCTCTGCCGCTATGCCCTGGAGTCTCCCCCCCCCCCCTGACCTTCACCCTCTTCTTCTCGCCTCCAAAAATAACCTCGGGCAAATAACCGAACCGCAACGAGCCCTCCGTGCGTCCCGTGAAAATGGGGTCGTGCCCTAGCGCGCGCGCGTGTCTCGTCGCCGCCCTTCGCAGGGGCTCGTCGAGATGCGGCAGCGTGTTCTCAGACGCTCGCTTCGTCGTCGTCGCGCGCAGCGTCGTACCCGTCCACGCTCGGGGGGGGGGGGGGGGGGGGGCTTACTCTTTGGTTCTTTCGGTAAAGTGACGTATAAAGATAAAGTAATAAATTAAATACTAGCATACGACGTTTCGATTGCAACACAAGCAATCATCATCAGGTATAAATGAAATCTAACCAGAGAACTATAGACAGACATAAGCAGACAGATATCACCAAGATACATAGAGAGAGAGTAACAGAGGCACAGAGAGGGAGATCGTCTCTGTGGGGTGGCCTTAAATAGACAGAGGGGGGGGGGGGGGGTGGGGGCGGAGAGAGGGAGGGGTTAAGATCGGGGGGGGGGGGGGGTTGTTCGTCTATCGGGTCCCCACTCCGTCTCGACCCGTCGTCTCGACCCGTCGTCTCGACCTCGAACTGCGTCCCGTCGAGTGCCGCCGCTCGTCGCAGTACGACGGAGGACGGCGCAGGTGCACGAGGGCCCGCCTTAGCCACTTGTCGCTGGGCCCTGCCCGTTGGCACCACCCAAGTTCACTCTCATTAGCGGGGGGTTCATCACTGATAATGTGGTTCGGGTTCGCCCCCCCACATAACAGCTCTACTACCCCCCCCCCCCAATCCTCGCCCACCCACCAATTTTAAGAAAAGCTGGAGACAGGCTTGATGTGCGGATATGCACCCAGCCTGGCACGGGCATAGCGATGACGTTACCAAGAGTATCAGATGCTGCTCGTCAGGATTTTCTGCATGTTAATGAAGGCGTGCCGGTGTTATGTAACTGTGTATTGTGCCATCACAAAAACAAACGTTGCGTGTGCATACTTGTGGTCCTTTTGAAATACGAGTTGTCTGAGTGTGTTTCTTAATCGTCCATACAGTTTCGATTTAAATCTTTCGTGACTGCAGGGATTCATCTTCTTGGTTCTTTCGGTAAAGTCATCACGTAGAAGGAAAGAATAGAATAGTAAAAATAAAACATAATAAAATCATTCTCACGACGTTTCGGCCACAACGCTAGCAGCCGTCCTCAGGTGAAGAACAGGTCTGTCGGATAGACAGCATCTGAAGTTTTGAGTCTGGTGGTGTAAATGTAGCGCCGGTGAGAAAAGCAAATAGAATGCAGCCGATCTCATTAGGCCTCTGAAACCTAAGCGGGTTTGAGCCTGGGTAGTGTTTGGATGGGTGACCGCTTCCGCGCATAGAGCAGCTGCTGTAGGCTGCCGCATCTGAGTCACGTCGTCAGCAGAGGCCAGTGCGGCGAAAACCCATTGTTGCCGCTGTACTTTGATTCGGTGTCTATGCTCCCCACATTCATGAACTTGCACTGATCGACACGGCGTGGCACGGGGAATGACAAACGGGGCTGTACGTGTGCGCACGCGTACTAAACCGTCAGTGGGCCAAGTTGCCACGCTGCACGCGCGACGGGGAGAGTGTGCGAGTGTGCGGCAGCGGGGAGAGAGCGTGACCGCGATCGGAAGACTCGCACGGCACGCGGGAGCCCTTGGCCTAGTCGGTGGATTGACCAGAAAGGGCTGAATTTTATTTTTTTATCTTCTTGGTTCTTTCGGTAAAGTCACGTAGAATTGAAATAATAAAATAATAAAAATAAAACATAATAAAATAATTCTCACGACGTTTCGGCCACAACGCAAGCAGCCGTCCTCAGGTGAAGAACAGGTCTGTCGAGGAGTCAGTCTGTCGAAACGTCGTGAGAATTATTTTATTATGTTGTATTTTTATTATTTTATTATTTCCCTTCTACGTGACTTTACCGAAAGAACCAAGAAGATGAATCCCTGCAGTCACGAAAGCTTTAAATCGAAATGTATTTTTTGAGTGAAGTTGGCATTCGCACACGACTCCCCCCCCCCCCACCCCCCCCCCCCCCCCACCACACGCTTGCCATCTGCGTCCCTTCTTTTGGCAGGGATCGTGACGTGCAACTGGTTTGTGATCATCGGAGTGTGCATCACGCTCACCTGCGTCTTCGACAGCACCGGCAGGACTTTCGTCAAGCTGCAGGCCAGGAAGAGCCGGCAGCGGTCTCTCACGACCTTTAACCTCCGGTGAGAATGTTGATTCTTTCCTCTGGGCCGGGATGGTGGCATGTGGTGTGTGGGGTTGGTGGTCCTATCTCTCCAGCTGTTTTAGCAGCGCCCTGCAAGTCCAGCTGTTTTAGCAACGCCCCGGGAAGTCCAGCTGTTTTAGCAGCGCCCTGCAAGTCCAGCTGTTTTAGCAGCGTCCTGCAAGTCCAGCTGTTTTAGCAGCGCCCTGCAAGTCCAGCTGTTTTAGCAGCGCCCTGCAAGTCCAGCTGTTTTAGCAGCGCCCTGCAAGTCCAGCTGTTTTAGCAGCGCCCTGCAAGTCCAGCTGTTTTAGCAGCGCCCTGCAAGTCCAGCTGTTTTAACAGCGCCCTGCAAGTCCAGCTGTTTTAGCAACGCCCCGGGAAGTCCAGCTGTTTTAGCAGCACCCTGCAAGTCCAGCTGTTTTAGCAGCGCCCTGCAAGTCCAGCTGTTTTAGCAGCGCCCTGCAAGTCCAGCTGTTTTAGCAGCGCACTGCAAGTCCAGCTGTTTTAGCAGCGCCCTGCAAGTCCAGCTGTTTTAGCAGCGCCCTGCAAGTCCAGCTGTTTTAGCAGCGCCCTGCAAGTCCAGCTGTTTTAGCAGCGCCCTGCAAGTCCAGCTGTTTTAGCAGCGCCCTGCAAGTCCAGCTGTTTTAGCAGCGCCCTGCAAGTCCAGCTGTTTTAGCAGCGCCCTGCAAGTCCAGCTGTTTTAGCAACGCCCCGGGAAGTCCAGCTGTTTTAACAGCGCCCTGCAAGTCCAGCTGTTTTAACAGCGCCCTGCAAGTCCAGCTGTTTTAGCAGCGCCCTGCAAGTCCAGCTGTTTTAGCAACGCCCCGGGAAGTCCAGCTGTTTTAACAGCGCCCTGCAAGTCCAGCTGTTTTAACAGCGCCCTGCAAGTCCAGCTGTTTTAACAGCGCCCTGCAAGTCCAGCTGTTTTAGCAGCGCCCTGCAAGTCCAGCTGTTTTAGCAGCGCCCTGCAAGTCCAGCTGTTTTAGCAGCGCCCCGGGAAGTCCCGCAAGCGCGTAGCCAGAAGGCAACTGGGGTGCCGTGTTGAGCGCGGAGCGACTCATTTGTCGATCGCGGTCGGGGTCGGGAAGAAGCCATGGGCCGATGCTGTCACGCCACGCTTCTGCGTTTCCATTGTGAGGCGGATGGGCGCAGTGGTGAGTGTTCCGTTATCCAACGCTGTGGTGTCAGGTGGTTGGTGGATCACGCGGCTTTGCCAAACTGCAAGGTGGCCACGAAGATAGGCAGCATAGCAAATGGGTTATATAATCCCTCTGTGTTTACCTTTTGACTAGTTTCACAATTGATGACAAGGCACGGTGCGATGGTGGCCACGGTAAAACGCGTGTGTGCCATCATCTCAAAGGATTATACTGGGCGAAACATTTCAGTGAACGAATAACAATAACTTTTTTTAAAGGGCTGAGAGTGGCACGAGCTTGCAGTTTCAGAGGCTGTACCTTTCTCCTTTTTACGGCACCTAAGTTTGGAATGACGTTGAAAATCCGGTTTTTATTTTCATTCGACTCGCTCAATGTTTTTCGTAATCCTGGGCGTCTCTATGGACAAGCAAACGTCCGATTTTATTTTATTCATGAAACCCCTGAAGGCGCAGGCAGGTGGGCCGGTGCTGAAACTACCCCCCCCACCCTCCCGCGCTTCCTGGCGACGGTGTCGCAGCACGCGCGATGCGCGCGCGTGACCTCATGCGCCGTCTCCACTCGGCAAGCAAAAGGGAAATAGGCGAAAGACTCCACGCGATCGAAAATGCCACCACAAGACTTCTCGCCCACCCATAAAGACAAAGGTCTCCCATATAACCTGAACAGACTGTTGGGGCAAGTGCCATTTGCGGGTAGCAGCGCCTATGATGGCCGGCACGGCACGCGAGGGGGGAGGGTGGCCAGCACCACGCCTGACCGCCTTTGTATCCCGAGTGGCGATGTTTACACATTGCACCAGGTACACATTTGAGGCTCAGTCGACCTAGGGGAGGCCCAGGACCAGTTCAGATAATCGTCACTGGTGTAAGCCGTGAGCAGGGAATCAAACTCGGGTCGCCAGGTTTTGGAGCACAGTGCGCTAACCACTACACTACCGCTCACCTCAAAATGCCTATGCCAGACTTTTCACTCACCCACACACACAAACGAGTTCACGTTACCCCAATATTCCAATCCCTCCGCCGGCCTCCAATCCATTCCCAGATAAATTTTCAAGATCACACTCACCGTGATCAAAATCTCCCTCTCTCCGTTGCATGTATGTATGTATGCTGAACTTCTCTCGCATCGTACGTAGCCAACCGTGCTAATCGGAGGTGCATGCAGTGTGCACTCCGGTAACGCGCGATGTTGATTCTAAGTGTGGAGGGAAAAAACCGGAGGACCCGGAAAAAACTCCGTGTATGCCCGGCGAGTTGGTTAACATCTCGGCACCATGGCACGGAGGAAAAGCCTGAGAGGATGACGCTACAGTGAGGGAAAAAAGTATTTGATCCCCTGCTGATTTTGTACGTTTGCCCACTGACAAAGAAATGTTTTGCAAAGGGGGTCAAATACTTATTTCCTTCATTAAAATGCAAATCTATTTATAACATTTTTGACGTGCGTTTTCTGGCTTTTTTGTAGTTATTCTGTCTCTCACTGTTCAAATAAACCTACCATTAAAATTATAGAACGATCATTTCTTTGTCAGTGGTAAAACGTACAAAATCAGCAGGGGGTCAAATACTTATTTCCCTCATTAAAATGCAAATCTATTTATAACATTTTTGACGTGCGTTTTCTGGCTTTTTATAGTTATTCTGTCTCTCCCTGTTGAAATAAACCTACCATTAAAATTATAGAACGATCATTTCTTTGTCAGTGGGAAAACGTACAAAATCAGCAGGGGATCAAATACTTTTTTCCCTCACTGTAGGTAGACGAGAGAGAGAGAGAGTGGGGCGGTGCGTGTAACCGCACGCACGGCTTGGCGCGTGCTCGTGGCGTGCAGGCATCGGATGGAGGAGGGCCTCACAAACAACTGGGCGCAGAGGCTCAAGCTGTTTATGTGCTGTGCCAGAACCAAGGACACGCAGACCGTAAGTACTCCCCGGGTCTCCTGCCTCTGCCGCGGTCTCACCCCGCTTCGTGATTACGAGGTCCGTCGGACCTTACGTTAAACAGTGGTTTGCTTCATAATCAACGTTTTTGGTAAAATTTTCACGACGTTTCGGCCACAATGCAAGCAACCGTCGTTGTCTTTTTGACAGCCTTGTTCTTTACCTGAGGACGGCTGCTTGCGTTGTGGCCGAAACGTCGTGAGAATTTTATCTTATTGTGTGTTATTTTTATTATTTCCCTTCTACGTGACTTTACCGAAAGAACCAAGAATATGAATCCATGCAGTCACGAAAGCTTTAATTCGAAACGTTTTTGGGTTAGATCGCGTTATATATAAATGTGTCGTAACCCTCCACCACCCGACATGGCCAATCCGTAAAAAAAGTGTCATGTTGACAAAAGACAAAATAGTTCATTACTTCAGCCCACCGGTGTGTTGAAGAGTGAATCCACAACATTTACAATTTTTGAGTACGACGTTTCGCTGGTAATTACATCCAGCATCATCGGGAAATTTGCCAAAATGGTGAAGCCCTCCACTTGCTCCCGGTCTTAAATAGAGCAGCAGCAAGGTCACGTCATCATTTAAGTGGTTTGCTTGCATCATCCCGAGGGTTCTCTGGGCTGACACTGGTGAGACGAGGCCATAAAGAAGGCTGTGTTCTGGTGTAGGCCAATCAGTTTTCAAAAGCGATGCATTTATTATAATCAGAGCATGTTTGTTTTCATGTTCACCACAAGTAGTCTGTGTAGTGAATGCAGACTTGATTACTAGCAAAAAGGTTTCTATTTGGTGTTTGAACATCTAAACACCTGTTTTGTTGGCAGACAGGGCAAACCCTCTTCTTATTTTTTCAGTGTTTGCTCATGCGATAGCGCGCGTTTTTAAGTTGAAAGACACACAGGATAAGCGGCGGTGCTGGGAGAAACGGCCCGTGAATCCTGCAAGGCTGGGGATGTGTTATGATTATTACTACTACTGCTACTCTTGTTTTACCCAGCAATGCCTCACCGAGTCTCGTGAATTTTTTAAAGAAGGGTCCGCCTCTTCTTGGTTCTTTCGGTAAAGTCACGTAGAATGGAAATCATAAAATAATAAAAATAAAACATAATAAAAGAATATTTCATTTTTATTATTTTATTATTTCCATTCTACGTCACTTTACCGAAAGAACCAAGAAGATGAATCCCTGCAGTCACGAAAGCTTTAAATCGAAATTTAAGGGTTCTCCTGCCAATTGTTCGTTGTTGGGGGGGGGGGGGGCATGGGTGGGGGGGGGGTGCAATGATTGCTGTACGTATAATCCCGATCGAGTAATTTCTGTATGTTTGACAAGGCACGTGGTGATGCATCAATTAATATACACGCTTCGAATTGTGCATGCATGAACCGTTGATTAATTTTTTTAAATATACGTTGCACGTAATTGCTTGACATGCACTCTGCAGACATTCTCCCCTGGTTATATATAACCTAATAAAAAATAAAAAGGTTACATCCACTGTACTACAAGCGATGAGATCAGCTCGTGCGCAGGTGCTAAGTAGGATTGTTATGATTTAAAGCTTTCGTGACTGCAGGGATTCATCTTCTTGGTTCTTTCGGTAAAGTCACGTAGAAGGGAAGTAATAAAATAATAAAAATAAAACATAATAAAACAATTCTCACGACGTTTCGGCCACAACGCAAGCAGCCGTCCTCAGGTGAAAACCAGGTCTGTCGAGGCCTCGACAGACCTGGTTTGTTTCATTATGTTTTATTTTTATTATTTTATTACTTCCCTTCTACGTGACTTTACCGAAAGAACCAAGAAGATTGGATTGTTACATCGCGGAGGGCAGAGGAGCGACGCTCGCAACAACGAGCGAAGCGCCGGGTGGTTAAAACAACAGCAAGTTGGCACATTAGGGGGGCACAGGTGGTGCAAGCATCTGCCGGTCATATTTGTCAGTCAACCCATGGCACCAACTGGGTCTGTTCCGTGACCTTCTGCCAGCAGGCGTTCGATACGTCACGTGGCCTTAAAGCGCGCACAGCCTGGCACAAGCGCCATGGTGATGTCCCCGCCACTTAGTGGCGATTGGCGGTGGCTGTTGTTACATCTCAGGGCCGTGGAAACCGGTGGCTCCTTGGGGAGGGGGGGGGGGTGATGGGGGGGGGGTATAATTCAGCAGTGGATCGATTGTGTCTGATGATTATGATGAAGGACAGTAGAAAGCCCTGGGAACAGAATGAATAATTTGCACCTAAAAGATATGGGGAGTGTGGATGATGCAGATTTGATTATTCGTACCTCAGATGGGGTGCTGCAGGTTTCATCAGTTGATCCTCATGGCGGTTCCCTGGGGTACCAAATTATACAAAATGTCCGAGGCAATTAAATATTTTATTTCTGGGACACTTTTTTTTGTCCAGGGGTTGTTACTTAATTCTGCGACTGGGGTACCAGTCAATCCGAAATCAGTGCCACTCCACGATGTCGAAACGCCAAACATGAACATAAACACTTAACGCTTTCGTGACTACAGGAATTATTATTCTTTGGGTCTTTCGGTAAAGTCACGGTCTGTGAACCTATCTACGTGACTTTACCGGAAGACCCAAATAGTATTAGCATAAAAAATCCGTTATCGAAAATGCCACTTTGAATGGTGCATCGTGTACAGCTCGTTGAGATGCGTCGATTGCCGCATCGCCGACCATCAACAGACTAAAAATACTGACTGCATCATGGAAATGATGCGAGAGCCAGGGTACTTTGGAACCCCGGGGTACCGCCATAAGGTTCAGTTGTTACTCCTGAATCTCTGCAAAGATGTAATTTAATTCACTAAACGTGCGGGAATAGGGCTTTCGCTCTGACCAGGATTAGTGCATGAATATTTGATAACGTCGGGGTCATTGTCGTAGCAAGGGTCAGACACGGCGAGCGTGTCGAAGCTTCTTCTGATCAGCAGTTCCCACTGTCCATCGGCGAGGTACCACGACTCTGCCTCTCCGCTTCCACGCGGCCGTCGCGTGACGCGTTTCCCCCACGGCCCCTGCCCCAGGACGCCTACTCCGAGGTGGCCGTGCTGATGGCCGAGTTTTTCCGGGACTTGGACATCGTTCCGTCGGACATCATCGCCGGCTTGGTGCTCATGCGGCAGCAGCAAAGGGCTCGGAGAAACGCGGTGCTGGATGAGGTGAGTGTGGGCTCACATTCACAATTCATACGGCTCTTACCACTGGCACATCCGAGCTGAGCCGGCACTGGGCCTTCACGGTGCGGGTAGGTTTTTTTTCCATACTCTTTGGTTTTTTCGGTAAAGTCACGCAGGCAAAAAAGGAAATAAATAAATTAATCTCACGACGTTTCGGGCGCAACACAAGCGTCCTTCTTCAGGTGGGGACAACGTAGCGAAAGCACAAATGCTTAAGTGTGTCTCGGAGATGGCTGTGACGAGGGATTATATAGTCGCGGGGCCTGGAGGTTTTTTTTTTTCCCACTGGCAATTTACCGTGTCCAGCCGGAACCAAACCGTTATTACGCTTGGCCTCGCGAGACATTAGAATCTGACTCTGGGGGAGGGGGGCGGTGGGGTGGAGGTAACCAGGTTCCAGGGGCAAAGCTTGTAAATTTCGTCATACGTTGTACGTATATGTACGTATGTTGAACTTCTTTCGCACCGTGCGTAGCCAACCGTGCTCATCGGAGGTGTGGGGGGAAGGACAACAAACTTAGCCGCAAAAAGCGCTTCTAAAGAAATTAGTTTGTCAATCTGGATGATTTAAAAGTGCATTGCTGCAGTCGCTTCCTAATATCGGAACGAAGAGCGTTCCAGACGGCCGCACAAGTGCACCCGAAAGCGCTGCGTTGACACGAGACCCGACTCGCTCACGGTGCACGACAACGAGTGGCACGGCTCGGGTTCTTCAGTGGAAAAACAAAGCGGGCCTTCTCCTGAGCCATGTCTCGCTTGCTCAGTGCAGCTCCGGTGCCGTTTGTTCCTGCAGTGGATGATGTTATTGATTTTCACCTAGGTGTATTTTTTTTTGCCCTGTTTCTAATCTTGTATTTGTCCTTCGTGTTAGAAGGGTGTGATATATTCTTGTTTGTGACATTTGGTCGTATTTCCTGATCAATCCTCTAAGTGGGGTGCGTTCCCCTGAATTGTTTGGGCTAATGCCATTATTATGTCTGAATAAAATCAACTTGGGGAATTTGTTTTTTCTAAACAAACAAATCCAGAGGCAATTATCCTCCCAGCTGAACAGCGTGACCGTCTGGAAGATCAGTTTTTGTGTTCTATCGGGTACGAGCCAAATAAGTCACCTTGACAAGGGAGACTTCAGATTAAATATTAGAAGTGACACAACATGGGAGGGAAACAAAACTGATGTCAAATATTTTAAGTGAAAACAACGAATTTTAGAAAACCGGGGAAAACAAAATTGAAAAGGAAATCCAAGCTCCAGGACTCTTCCCAATATCAAATCTCTGTGCAAGGAGTGGGTTCACCGCGATTTTCAAGCTTGCGTTATACACTCATTGAATTGCGTTTGTAAGAATCGCGTTTTTTGTGCGTGTACAATTCACGTAATGTGTTTAATACGTGACCTCTGCAGCAACACACTCGTGGCAATCGCGTTCGCTGAAATTTAAAACAAATAAAATGAAAACGTGTTTTTGAATCAGATCACGATCGTGAATCGTGTCAAGTCATCAAATCGGTAAATTAATCGATAGAGCTTGAATCGTTTATATTTGTTTGTATGCTGAACGTCTTTCGCGCCGTACGTAGCCAAGTGTGTTGATCGGCTCGGCTTTGGCCACGTAACAATTTGACCAAATTTGTGACCTTTAAAAGCCCTCCTCGACCCTACACAGCCAACCAAACAAATTTTATTCTCATGCGTACAAGCGTTTAACAAATGCGCAAACATTTTTTTGTTCCCGCTCATCCATAACGGTGAGTTGAAGAACGATCTTCACAACCAAATCTGGCGACAAGACCTGACGCTTCGTTTGAAACTGCGTCATGTGTCAGCGGGACAAGCTCCGAAACATCAAGAGTCCACAGTCCAGAGTAACAGGGCAGAATGTGTTTGAGTATTGGGCTCTAAACCGTTAGCGGAGCAAGTTACAAAGTGTGTGGTGCGATATGGCGTGGAGTTGGCACAGAAGTGTGTTCAGGCATGGGTTTCCTCACTCGTGATGTCTAACCATCGCTGCTGTCTCTTCTCCTTGTGTTGTTGATCTATAGGCAAACAATGACATCCTGGCCTTCTTGTCTGGAATTCCCATCGCACGGAAGACTGAGTATCTGGACCTCAAAAATTCTGTAAGCAGCGCACTCCATTTTATTTATTCTCAATCCATCATTTGTCACACGTTTTAGCGAGATGAGAGCCCAATAGATATTTTTGTTTGTACAGATGCACCGAGGAATCGTTAGTTGGCTTTAAAAAAAAAAGAATTTAAAACTATTTTGTCAATTTTCATGCTGCTTTAACAAATTGCAAGTCCGTGTCGGTCATGGTGGTTGGTTGAGCACACTTCACCGTTCTGGTGAATGCTGGTTGGTGAAGATGGCGTGCACGAGACCAGTTCAGACACCACTTGCCACCGATGTTAGCCGTGGCCGGGAATCAATCTCAAGTCGCCGGGTTCATAACACAGTGCGTTAACCGCTGCACCACCACTCGGGTACAAATCATTGTCCCCGACTGGCAGGCCAAGTGCCGAGTCACCTTGGGCCACACAGGGACAGCTGCCACTGGGGGGGAAGGGGGCGGGTGGCTCACCATAATTGTCGAGATGATTTCTGTGATGCAAGTCGCGTCCAACGCGCTCTCCGAGACGCTCCGGTTTAAAAGAGCATGCCGTCAATAACGGAAACATTATCATTGTCATCGTTATAATGTGAAAAGTTATGCAAACTGGCTTCTGAGTCCAGCACCCGATGACCTGCGTTAGTGGCGATGTGTCGTGATCACTCGGCAACCGAGCTGCACTGCCTTGATCCCCCAACGACTTGCATCAGACTTGGCAGGCGCTCTGCATTTTTTTTGTTATTTCACGCACTGAGATCACTTTAGCACTTGGGTCACCCTCCTGTCTGCCGATGCAATATTTACGTTTGTATTGAACATGCACGCCCATCATGACAGTAACAAATAACAGCCTCCGTAGCCCGGCTGTAAAATGTGTTGGCATGATGCCCTATACGTCTGAAGGGTAAAGGAATTCTCAATAATAGTTGTAGTGGTAGTGGCAAATCCGTGCACGTTCAGCCCTCTCATCAATCCAGTGCCGGATGAGGGCCTCTCTCACGCTCTGCGGGGTCATGTTGGTTATTTTCTGGAACTTCAACCCTGGTCAGTGTGCGGGTTGGTGAATGTGCGGTAAAACGTCGCGTACAAGTACAACACAACAACGAACGTTGCTGCGCCGCCCGTCCTGCCCACCCGCCCGCCTGCAGTTGGACACCTATACCCACAAGCCCCGTGGCAACCCACAAGCCCCGTGGTGTGCTTCCATCCGAGCCTCGATCTATGCTCAACCCCAGCTTAGAATTTGGAGGTCTGACGAAGATCGCTCACATTCCGGGTGACTTGGCAATGGTTTGTTTAACTGTCTGGAAAAAAAGCTTTGCCGCACCGCGATGTTGTATTTGTTTTGTCAAGCCCTTTCTTAAAGCGGCGTTTTTGTTTTGTGCGGGGGTTCGCACGCTGTGACGTCTTTTAATATTGTGCTTTGTGTAGGTCGTGAATAGCCCGGGTGAAGGTTTATCTTCTCTCTCGATTTCGCTCGTAATTAATTTTCTTTGGTCAGTCAAGTTGGCTTCAGTTTGGCATGGAGGAGTGGGCCCTCTATTCAGAATAAGAATATTTATTTATACTGGAGGAATCTGATGAGCTAGAAAGCTCTTTTTCACAGATGTCCAGTATGGTCGGGTAAGAGCGTTACAACAACAAACAGTACAAAAGCATGATAGTGGTGCAATGTATAAGAAAGGTAAACGCATCACCCAAACACATACAAATAAATCGAAACCATCCCCATCCTACAAGGCAAAGCCCACTGAGGTATGAACTTATTTTTCAGAAACGACTTGGCCACAAATGATAGCTCAACAAAGTGGCCCATGATATGGACATTTGTAGCATCAAAATAATCCAAATAATCTTAATATTAGTGGAAAACATTCATCAAGCAGTGGATAGATAATGGCTGATGATGATGGCGATGGTGCATTTTTTTATCATTTTCTCAAGTAGAATACATATTTTGGAAGGATGTCTACATTTTACTTTGTCTTATAAATGTTCTTAAAATATTTTAATCTCATGATTGGCACTTGTTCAGACGAAACAAAAGCCATAATTGCAAACCCAGCGATTGTCACACAGCTGATATATTCTTAATTGCTGTGGTGATATGGCATTGTGTGCCACGGTACAGACTTAAGTACCTAATCCCTATTTTTGGGTCTTTGGGTAAAGCCACGTAGATAGATCAAAGAATACAAAATAATAATAAAAATAATAACAATATTACGACGTTTCGATCGCAACACAAGCAATCGTCATCAGGTGAGAAATATCGCGGGTGAGCTGCTGAGAATATACCTGATCCTTTTGCTTGTCGCAACTTCACGTGGAAAGGGTGGCTTGCGCTAAATGATATTCGCGCGCGGTGAGGGAATGAGATAAGCGGACAATACCTTTCATTCTTATATCTGTCCCTCCACGTAAAATAAAAAAAAACATGGGTGTTTTTTTCTAAAGACAACCCATCGGCCCACCACGGCCTTCTGGGAGTGCATCATTTCAGCAGCGTTGATTCACTCGGTAGCCAAGCCAGAACGTCACGCCATGTGCATTCCCCGTGCACCGCGTACGCTTGCGTACACACCGTGTACCGTGCTTGCGTATGCGGCGTGCACAGCGTGCATGCCGCGTACGCTTGCGTACACACCGTGCACCGTGCTTGCATATGCAGCGTGCACAGCGTGCGCTGTGTAACTTCAGCACGTGTCATTTTTGCAAGCAATTTCAATAAACCGTAAATAATCGATTCTCGCAACTTCATCAAAGTATCGCGTGCGTAATAATAATTGTTTTCAATCGATGAAACGTGCACTCTACACACTCCGTTGATTTTGAAAAACGTACATTAAGCCTTTAACTTGACTACGTCGCTCGATTTCTGAAACTGCCCGAGGTTGTTCCACGTTGTTTCCAGTTTTCTATTCTGTGCTGCGTTCCGTGTTGGATAAGCGACACTTTGCAACTCTCATTATATGAAAACACTTCCTTTGACGAGGTAGACAATTACATTTGTTATTTTTAAAAAAAAATCGCTCACCCAATTGAGATCCAATTAACGCGACTGCCATTCTGCGCCCGTGACGTGAAGTGGGTTAACATAGGTAGGAGGGGGCTGTACATTATTTAAGAAGAGGGTAACAATGATTCCCGTACAGCCCATCAATGCGGGACGGATCCCTGCAACTTAAGGGCACAACGACCTTTGATTTTTATTTCAATGCAAAGTGTAGCGGCAGTCTGACACAGGCTGCCACACAACGCGAGATGGAAGTGGAATCACGACTGGAACTCTTCAAGGGAGGCCTCACGAAATTCTCGAGTGCCGCGGTGGCGAGATATTAACTACATCGTCTGGTATACTGGAGGTTGTGGGTTCGATCCCGACCCTGACAATGGCTGTATATTTGGAGTCTGCGTGTCTCTCTCCCCGTGGTGGCGTGGATTTTTCTCTGGGACCTCCGGTTTTTCCCTCCACATTTACAATCAACATGCGTTTAGAGTATTTGGCTGCTATAAATTTTCATGTAATAAGCCACTTTGTTGAGCTATCATTTGTGGCCAGGTCGCTTCTAAAAAAGAGCTACATAGCTCAGTGGGCCTTACCTGGTAAAAAAAATTATAATCGATCTGTTACTCACAATCGAATGGAGCTGAATGGACTGAATGGGCCCCGTCTCGTTTGCAGCCTTGTTCTTACGTGTTTTTGAATGACAATAATTTTTATTTTTCTCATGCAAAATGGCCTGGCAGATATTTCTACACGTTGGCTATCGAGCTCTCAGTCGCGTTTTTGTGTTTTTTGTAAAAGAATCCTAATTTTTGACAAGGGGAGGGGCGTGCCACGGTGGTTAGCGCGCGCTGCGCTGTGGGACCGGGTGATCCCGAGTTTGATTCCCTCATCATCATACATCGCTCATGGTCGTCGGCATCCCCCTCACCAACCCTCACTGACCCACGTGGTGAAGTATGCTAAAACGACTCCCCCCCCCTTAACCAAGACGGCATGAGGTAACCTTCATCCAGCAGTGGATTGACGAAGGGCTGTATATTATTATAAAACATAAATGTATTTCCTCCTTTATCCAGTGGTGGATTGATCGTGGCTGATGATAATGGTGATGAAAGTTCTCGGCAAGAAATCCTATGTAATGCGTCTGGTGTTTTCCTTCCCTCATCTTAAATTAATTTCCTGAGGTGTTAATACACGCTAAATATTGTAAGGCTGAAGTTAATGTTATTTTACCTGTTTTAGCTTAAATTGTATGTATTAGCAAACTTAGGTGAAATGGGATTCTATTGGATGGTGTTAATGTCTCAAGATTATTGTGCTTGAACTTGTAAACCGATTCCTCAGCGCATGGTGATGTAACGCCATCTGCGAACAAATGTTTAATTTTTTAAAATTAGAATCCGCATCTTTATTTATCCTGGAGAAATCCGATGAGCCATGAAGCTCTTTTTCACAGATGTCCAGTAGGTTAACGAGTGATGTTTGAAATCACATTCTCTACATGACGACGTAAGTTGAACTTCTTTCGCACCGCCGCACGTAGCCGACCGTGCTAAACAATGAGAACTACGAACCAAGGGAGAGAAACCTTTCTCAATTCAAGTGGGCCATGTTTTGATGCGTCGTCTTCTGAGGCCCCCAAACGGTTAATTATCCCACGGGTTCAGCTTGTCAGTTTGACCTTTTAAAAGTTCAACGTCAGCCCGTCGCTGCTGCTCGTATTGATGTGGTCCTTTTTATCAATTGACAATTTTTTAATCGCCCGTTCCTGGGCTCGTTTCAATCAGGCGCTGTGCAGCGTGTAACAGATACGGCGCACTTATTTATTAATTAATCGCCGTAAATTCTATTGAATTATTCCAGGAGCATAGCGATACTCTCCCTTCCCGGGGATTTTGAGTGGCGACATTATAAAAGGCGGATTCACTGTGCGTGGTCAGTGAAATTACCATGTTGATTGCGGTCGATGAGTAACGTGTGCACATCGGTTAGCACGGTTGGCTACGTACGGTGCAAAAGAAGTTCAACACACATACACGCATGCGTACGTACAGAAGGCCGTCTCGCGTAGGCCAATTAGTTTCAAAGACAACGCGTATATAATTATCAGAGCATGTTTGTTTGCATGTTTTGCCACAAGTGCGTGCGGTTAATGCAGACTTAATTCCTTGCAGTAGGTGTCTATTTGGTGTTTGAACATCTCAACACCTCTTTTATTTCCAGAAAGATTAACGCCTATTATTATTTTTTGTATTATCTTGATACTTGGAAAAAAGGTCCGAAAGATATCCATATATACGTGAGAATACATGCATATTCAATAGTGTGTGAATATTCATGAGCGTACAGCATTATACGATAACGAAATATCGTGAAGCATGTGATGTTCGCACGGAATCGATTTTCCTCGTGACGACGATGATGCCGGTCTTCTGTCCGAGCTGGATTTTTTTCTCTCCATGTTCTTGTGGTATAATGTTTCTGAAGCGTTAATAGGACACTTTGCAGTTTTGGTATGTTTTGAAACAGAAGAATAACTTAATTGATATGATAATCGTGGCCTTCATGAAGCCGTTTTTTTTCATGGTGAGTGAATCGTACAATTTCGTTTTAAAATGGTGCACTTGGGTGGCACACGGGTCTCGGTAATACACGAAGAGGCTGGAGGGACGGTCATTAATTGTAGGCAGCTGAAACCTTGCCACTGTTGCAGAGTAGCCCCCCCCCCCCCCCCCTGTAGGTTCTCCTCTCCATGTCATTGCATGGCAGTGGCGGCAGGAACTAGACATGGCAGCGATAGAAACTAATGGACCAGAAGCGTCAAATTAAGTGAGGGCAGTATGAAACAGCAGACTGTTCCATGAGGCTCCAGGATAGGCACCTGTCTGCAGGCATTGTCGTGCTGTTTGCAAGCTGCCTTGCTTCTCGGTGTTCAGGAGTTGCATTAGCTGTAGGGGCAGACATTGCAGCACATGCAGCGTGCCGTGTTGCTTCTTGGTGAGTTTAATTAGCTGTAGGTGCAGGCATTGCGGCACTTGTAGAAATGGCATCAATTAGCGTTATCGGCTTTGGTGAAGATAAGTGCAGTTTTTCCGTGATGTGTGTAGGTAAAAGTCCGTAAGAAGGAATTGTAAATAGCGAGTGTGAGAGTGAATCACCGTGTAGGGAATGTTCATTAAATATTTTATAGGTGAATTTGTAAGCGTTGTTGGCACGTGAAAACGAAGCCACACAGGAGTGAAGCATAAGGCTGGAAGTTATTGGAGGGTGTTATTGTTTGTCGTGATTGAAGCAATTATCAAGAGTGTGTGAGCGGTGGTGTGTGCACATCTATAATTACGTGAACGTGAGCGTGTGTACATGTGCATGCGTTTTTTCTGCTTACCAGGCGATGTAGACTTGACGTGTATGTATAACATGTAGGCTTTCGCGACCAATATTAATCATAATATAACCCAAATACCTTTATCATGAATGTGCTCAAATTGTTAATGTTGTGGATTTACTCTCCAACACACCGGTGGTCTCAAGTAGTATACTACGCTATACACTACACTTTACATTATACTAGTAACTAATTGGCGTGTTGTTTACGTGACAAACCTCACTGGCTGTGGAGGGTGACGACACATTTATACTTACGCGATCTACTCCAAACACCTTTATTGTGAATCGATGTACGTAGTCGTAGCTTTTGCGTAGCGTCTGTGTTTTGTAGAAGGAGGTAGGTGGTGCTGGTACGTAGATGTTTTATAAGAGTAGATGTATTGTGTGAATATTGCAGTGCGTGTTGGAGGTGAGCTGTGCACGTGCAGGAATCGCAGTAAACGGCGGTAGTGGGTGAATTTGGCTGGATAAACGCGGGCCTGATAATAGCGGAGGATAATGTGCAGCGGCGTGGGGGAGGGGGGGTAGGTGTAGTGTGCAGGTGTTACAGGTGTTGCAGGTGAGCCGGGAAGGTAAAACACACTCATCCGTGAGTATGCACGGAAACTTTGGGGTGTGTAGGATTCATGGTTTTGGCACAATTTGGTTCACACACACACACACGCAAAGTCTGCGTTATAAAGATTGCTGAAAATCGTTTTTGTTCTTCCAGAATGTCATGAGCATGTACAAGGACGTGTGCTACTACATGCACTACGCGCTGGCTGCGTATGGGTGGCCCATGTACCTCATCAGGAAGCCGGCCTGCGGACTCTGCAAGCTCATGGCCAACTTTTCGTGAGTACTGCGCTTCGCTGGCGCCAGCGTTGGCCCCTTGCTGTGCTCTCGCGTTGCACCGAAGGCTCATGGTAGAACCCGGCGTAGTGGCGTCACTCAAAATCCGCTTCGGGACACCAAAGGGGTCTCGAACTGTTGCAGCAGTCGGGGAGCACGGGTGGTGGGCAGGTAGGGCACGTAGGCACGGGTGGTGGGCAGGGGGGGCACGGAGACACGGCAGAGGTCGCAACCGGGTACGCGATACCCATACCCTACCCGATACCCGGCTACCCGTACCCGGCCGGGTATGGGTACGGGTAGCCGTTTGCGACCCTGGTGCGGCCGGGTACGGGTACGGGTAGGCCGTGAGTCACTGGTGAGTAACTGTTTGTCACTCATTTCGGGTAGGGTACGGGTACCCATTTGCGACCCTGGTGCGGCCGGGTACGGGTAAGGAATCAAAACCCGTTTGCGACCTCTGAGACACGGGTGGTGGGCAGGGGGGGCACGTAGGCACAGGTGGTGGGCAGGTGGTGCATCTCAGTCAGTCATCCCAAAACACTCGGCTCTGTCCCCGTGACCTTTCCGCTGCCGGCAGTGGCGAGCCTTCAACACTTCACGCGGCCTCAAAGCGCCTCCTACCCTGACGCAAGCGCCGCGGTGACATTGCCTCCGCTCGGTGGCGAAGGACAGCAGCGGCGGCAAGCTGTTGTTGTTGTTGTCGCTGCTGCTGCGCCGTGTGAACCGCGTCAGGTGCTGCTGCCTGGGCTACTGCGTGCGGAGGCACCGATTCTCTCCCAGCCTCACGGTGCAGGACGACAACTGCTGCCAGTGCAACGTGGCCGCGATCCGCCGCCACTTCCTGGATGAGGGCCTCTCGGGGGTGGAGATCGTCTTCGCCTCCATCCACGACGCGGTGAGAGCGCCGCGGCGGCGCCGGTCGCACGGCCCGTGCGCGAGCCTCGTACGCACGCGTGTAGAACTTTTTTTGCACCGCATGAAGACAAACACGCTAATCGGAGGTGTGCGGGGGGGTGGGGGGAAGGAAGACAAACTGATCGCTAAAAGCAGTTTGAAAGAAATAAATTTTCAATCTAGATTTTAAAAAGCATAGCTCTAGCGGGCTTGCTAATATCGCAAGGAAGAGCGTTCCAGACGGCCGCAGAAGCGGTCCGGTAGTCTAAGATCAGCATGCAATTAGCTTTGCCTTTTATTTGGCTATGTTGAAGTGCAACATTTGCATATTTCATCCACAGATTTTATCTACATATGTGAAGTTGAACGTGTTATTTTCACGTCTTTTCTATTGCGAGTTTTAACAAATGCATTGTATTATAGTGTTTGTATGTACGTATGTATGTATGTTGAACTTCTTTGGCACCATACGTAGCCAACCGCGCTAATCGGAGGTGTGGGGGGGAAGGATTACAAATTAAACACAAAAAATCAGCTCGAAAGAAATTAGTTTTCCATGACATTTAAACGTGCATAGCTTCCTAATATCGGAAGGAAGAGCGTTCCAAACGGCCGCAGAAGCGCATCTGAAAGCACAGCGCGATGCGGTAACCGTCTTTGCAGAGATGTATATTGAACTTCTTTCGCACTGTACGTAGCCAACCGCACTAATCTGATCCTCGCCCGCACGGATGTGTTTAACGCGAGTTGACACGGCGCACTCTTGCCGACGAGGCTATCGTACCGTGGCTCTTTGAGTTCTTCACCGGGTGAAACACGCCAGTGTGAATCTGTTGCTCTATCGTTACTCTCTCTGGACAATGGGATATCGTCGGTGGACGGGTACACGATGCTGTTGGGCGTCATCTCTCGCTTGACAAGAGTGGCTCGCGTGGAAGCTGCCATTATCCACTCCAGAAAATAAGCCAAAGCTGAGGTCGAATCATTTCATTCGTCAGTCTGTCTGACTTGGCGTCACGAAGATGAGTCGGTATGAATACAATTTCAGCGCAAAGTTTTTTGTTGCTTTTTTGGGACCTGCCCTGTAGAATTCCGGCCTAAATTGATCGAAGGGTCGACAAAAACCTGGTGATAAATAAAAAATAAAAGGAACCTAACGCTGAAATGGGCTTAGCCACTGCCCAAGGCGTTGCGTGCCGTGCGTGCGTTGCATCCCCGGACGCCGTCTCGCGTCTTCGTGCGTCTTCGCGCGTCACGCGCCCCGTCCGACGTCACCTCGTTGCGCCGGCTCGGACGTTATCGTTATTGGCCGCTTGATCGTAAGCGCTCCCGAGGTCAAACACACTTCTTGGAATTCGTGCAATCAGCGTGGTTCACCTTCATCGTCGCTCGTTTCAAACGGCTTTCAGCCAGGCCAGTGCACCACGTTGTCATTCGTTTTTCACGGGCTTGCCATTCGTGGCACGACAGTGGGTATTTGTGAGGGTGTCTGAAATCTGTTGATTTGTTTCCACTGCACCCGTTGTTAATCATTTGAAAGCAATTCTGATTTCAGCCACGTAAGGGAGGTCTGAGTGCCACGAATTTCCATTCACACTGCACCTCGTCCAGAGCAACCGCCAAGCGCGTATTGCCACTCGGTACAAAGAGAAGCAGCAGGTTACCCCTCCGCCTTAAGATCTTGGATTATATAATAAATAATGAAACCCAGAGACACTGTGGGGTGGAGGATAACGGGGTAGGTAAATACAGGAGGGATTAATGGTTATTTTTAGACGTACAGGCTCGTTGAGCTATGACAGCTGAAGCACTGGTCTTCTTCACTTAATATTGATTGCGCGTCCTGTGTTTATATATATGTAGTGACATAGGCCGTCACTACTGTGTCGGCCCGTACGAGGGCTGGGGGCCCCAAAGGGGTGCCTGGGGGGTCACGTGGTGGAGGGACCCAGACCTTCCCAGAGGTGGGGGAAGGGAGGCGTGGCCTGGGAAGGGAGGCGTGGCCTGGGAAGGGGATATAAGCGGGGTGTGGATGCAGAGCGGGGCTGTTGAACTCCGAAGTGAGGACGACATCATCGGTCCTCAAGTCCCGGGTCGTCGTCCTGGACCAGGCAGCCCGTCGCCTGCCTGGTCCCCTCTGTGTCGTGTTCCAGAGTGTTAGTGAGTTGAGGAAGGTGGTCACCACCTCATGTACAGTGTTATATTACTTACCGTTTAATAAATAGTGTTGCCTCCAAGCTGTGTGTGTGTGTGTGCACCTAATTCGAACCCACTACATATATATATACACTGAGTTGTCAAATGGCTGGTCTGCGCTGTCCCATAAACCACGCTCGCTCTATGCTTGGCTTCAGCAATTACAGCGTGCAGCTTGTGAATACGCGTGTTCCTGTGATTTGGTTGAAATGGGAAATGCAAATCTGTCCGACGAACCAAATCGTACTTGCGCCTTTAGAGCACGGGTGGAATTTAGGATTTTCTGTTCGTAAACGGAGCAGATCGATGAACTCGTTGTCCAAAAATGGGTTTTTTTATGACGGAATAATCGTGGTAGTATTTTTCTTTCAAAGGAATTTACTTCAAATTGAATCTCTCAAATTTGACTCGTTATTTTCCAAAGAGCGTTTTGCACGTCGGAGAAGAGCTGAGTGCCCGGAGAAAACGCACGCACGCACAAGGAGATCACACCTCTTTTTGTTTTCTTTCAAGTTTATTTTGAACCGCAGAGCCGTTATTAATCTTTTTTTTTTTTGCAGCTGAAAGTTGGTTTCGCGGCCTAGAAAAATCCGAAACCCACTTCAACAAATTCCGCGCTCGGCTTCTTGCTGGGAATTTGATCCCTTTACCATTCCGAGCGGTAGTGTAGCGGTTAGCGCTGCGCTGCGCTACGAACCTGGCGACCCAAGTTCGATTCTCACTCACGGTACCCAGTGACGATTATCTGAACCGGTCCTGGGCCTCGCCTAGGAAATGAGTACCTGGTGCGCCACTGGGGAGACAAAGGCGGCCGAGCGTGGTGCTGGCTACCCACCCCCTCGTGTGCTGTGCCGGCCTTCATAGGTGCTCGCTAATAGCACTTGCCCCACTATAGTCTGAATGAAAACGTTATAGAAAGTGACCCCCCCCCCCAGATGTGGGGGTAAAAAGTTGATTCAACAAGTTTCCAAAAATTGTCGACCATCCCCCAAAAAAGACATTTCTACCGACACACCCTACATACAATAGTCATAGTATCTGCAGACGTTGGGGGGGGGAGAATAGTGCATCAGTGGGGGCGACAGGCGAAGCACGAAGCGCCGAGAAGCCCCCCGCGGGAGCGATAACAAGGCGGCCGTAGGCCACCGAAACTCGAGCGTGTTTCTCAATGTGGAGGGTGAAAAAGCAGAGGACCTGGAGAAGAATCAACAGGTAGAACATGCATATACAGCAGGCGTCAGGGTCGGGAATCGAGCTGACGACCTCCCGTATACCAGGCGAGGGAGATAACATCTCCAAGCCACCGCGGCGCCCCACCCTGGTGGAGAGAGAGGTAGAGGCAAGGACCGTGTTTGATCACAGTTGCTTATTTAAACACGGTGTTGTAAAAAGCTCATGCATTGAGTTGCACAAATGCGTGTGTGTTGCACAGTCGCATCCCCGCTGCACGATCAAAATCGTGAAATTCAACTTCAAGCCAAGCAGACTTGAGCCAGATTAGCACTCGGATGGAAGGCTGCTCAGTAATCTACCCGGCGTTGTAGGTTTCGAAACGTGAGGTGGCCCACTTGACGGCAGTCCTGCAATGACTTCTGGGATCGTGCGTGCGGTCGTAGATTCCCTCTCCGCGTGCTCTCTCCCTCGGTTTCGCTGCCCGCGCGCGGCCCGGTGACCGATGAGTGCATTCCGTCAGACACCAATGCCCGTTGCAGGGCCCTCCCGAGTACGAGTCGCAAGGCTAGGCGAGGGTCTCTTCAGTGCCGGATTAAGCTAGTGCGCGGGACCTGTAGCATATGTTATAAAGGGGCCCAAATAAAAAAAAAACGTAAATATGAAAACACATCATTTTTTTTACTTGCGTAGTAAAGTAATTTTATGTTTTCATTTTCTATACAGCCAGATGATACGACAAATCGCTAACCTTAAACACCCAGTCGTTCGTAAGAGTCGAAGGCGGTACAGTACTATAGTAATAGAGCAAGTGCAGAATCACTGAACCGGAATTGATAGCTTGAAAGCATTTAGCGCGGGGCCCTTGAAAGTGCGAGGGGACCCGTAGCATATGGTGTTACTTTTGCTACTAGGGTAATCCGGCACTGGGTCTCCCGTGTCAAAAAAGAAAGGGACGTTGCTATCGCTCGTGAAGGTGCACTCGGCGGTTGTCTTATTTGAGGGAGTTAAAGTACGTTGTTTTTTGCACGTCGGATGCGCGCGCACTTAGAACCGCACGGGAAATCGGATCGATGAGAGAGGGGAGATGGGGAGGGGGGCGCGCGGAGGGAAAACGATCGGAGAGAACTTGCCAGCGGCGGCCCTTGCGTTTCGGGACACGTTGGTTTCTCAAGGAGGCGCGAGAGATCATTCACAGAGTTATAGAGGTGTTGTGTAAGGCCCTTTGCCAGTGACAAGTGAAAAGATGGGCAAAACGAGAGCGTAGGACCGAAATAGTCTTTTGTTCTGTGGGAGACGGAGCCTTTTGGCAAACAGAATCCGCGATGGTGGCATTCCCTTCCTCCTCACTCCACTTTTTTAAAATGGCATCTTAGAACTCCCGTGGTTTTTTTTTTGTTACTACATGGAGGCTTTCTCCGTAACTTAAGCTTCATGTAAAGCGCTTTGAGGCCCTGCGCGAATTGCGCTGTAGAAAATCGAGTTGATGATAATTATCAAAATATTCTCAAGAGATGGCCCTGGAGTGCCATCCAATTGGAGGTGCTTTCCGTCAGCGTTGCTGCGCGCAAGCGATTGCAAGCCTGCGCCTTTACGTCTGCTGGGCCAATTGAATGCAACACGTGAGTTGGTTACAACAAAAATGTATTCAAGGTTACTCACAATCAGTTTAACACGTAGGCTTTCGCGACCAATATTATTCATAATCAACGTTTTTGGGTTTAGATCGCGTTATTTATAAATGTGTCGTAACCCTCGACCACCCGACACGGCCAATCAGTAAAAAAAGTGTCACGTTGACAAAAGACAAATAGTTCACTGCTTTAGCCCACCGGTGTGTTGAAGCGTGAAACCACAACATTTACAATTTGAGTACGACGTTTCGCTGGAAATTGCATCCAGCATCATTGGGCAATTCGCCACATTTATAAATAACGTTACTCACCATGGTGGTGAGATGTTAACTATCTCACCTCATATACAGGAAGTCGTGGAGTTCCATCCAGACCCTGACGCCTGCTGTATATTTGGAGTTTGCGTGTCGTCTCTGTCTCTCCCCGTGGTCGCGTGGATTTTTCTGCGGGTTTTCTGGTTTTTCCCTCCACATTTAGCTTCAACATCACGCGTTTAGAGTTATTTGGCTGCTATAAATTTCTACGCGATAAGCCACTTCGTTGAGCCATCAATTGTGAGACCCAGGTCGCTTCTCAAAAAGGAGCTATGGAGCTCCGTGGGCCTTTCCTGGAAAAAGAAAACAAATAGTTTAGAGATTAGTTTTAATAGTTTAAGGAATAGACATACCAGACGATGTGCAGCACATGTACGCAGCTCCTTCCTCGACGGCTCCAGCCAATCATAGCATAAGACAAAAAAATACAAGTCTACAGCTACAAAGGACTTGCATTTTACATGAAAACGGGTTTTTTAATGTAATTAAAATTTTACATGAACATTTAAACAGCAGAAATTGGAACCCTCATCTCCGAAATTGGCTTTCAAGGTGAACGGCATAATGCCTATTTAAATCAGTGCTGCTATCGCGTGTGGTTTTAACTAATTCATGATTATGTACTCGGCCACAATGCACGGGCTTGCACTTTGACGCGTGCGCGCGCGTGTGTGTGCGCGTGTGTCTAATTCGGCGGGGAGCGGTCGTGCAGCGGTTATCAGCGGCCACACGGGTTCAATTCCCGCTCACGGCGCGCGCCGGTGACGATTATCTGAACCGGTCAATGGCTTCCCCGACGTTGACTCGGCCTCAAATGGGTAACCGGTGCGGTGCGTAAACATCGCGGCGAGGGAGACAAAGGCGACCGGGCGTGTTGCTGGCCACCCCCACCCCCTTTGTGTTCTGTGCCAGCCTTAATAGGTGCAACTCGCTGAGAGCACTTGCCTCCAACAGTCTGTTAAGGATACACGGGGGATCTTTGTCTAATTAGGGAGCCGCGTGCAAAGCGCGCCGTGTTTCTGGGTGACGAGCAGAGACACGTAGGGGAGCGTGATGGGGCACAGCGGGGGAGCAATGGTGCAGTGGTTAACGCACGGCACCACGAACCCGGCGTGCCCGAGCTTGACTCCCGCTCACAGCCAACTTCGGTGACGAATATCTGGGCCTCCCCGAGGTCGACTCGACCTGAAACGGGTGCCTGGTGCGATGTATCAACATCAGGGCTCGCGACCGGCTGGGCATGGTGCTGGCCATGCCGCGCATCTGTGCGCCGTTTCCCGCTTTAACAGGTTGCTCGCTGACGCCACTCGTCCCAGCTGGTCTGCTCGGGGCTATGCGTGGCGGCTCTCTCCATTTGTATTTAGCGGAACACGGTGCCCGTTCGTCATCGGAGGCGAGGAGATGTCTTTTTAAATCCTTTATATTAAGTTCACTTGCTTGCTTGCTTGCGCGCTTACGACCGTGCAAATCTTTCGGTCGTTTTTTAACCCACTTCCCGTGATCCAATCGAGCTGACATTTTGCACACAGACTCGTTGTGCGTGACAATTTATTTTCGTGAAAATGTTTTTCCAAAATTTTACACTTTTTAGGAAAAAATCAATTATATTTAATTACCAATTCCTTAATAGTGGCAGGCAATCATCTGACCCCTAGGTGGCAGCCATCTCAAGCCAGAGGACGAGAGGACTCTAGCCGCTACGCATATAAAGGATTTATAGTGAAAAACTTTGTTTTTACGGGTTAATTTTTTGGCAAACCCAAATATAAACATTTCCAAAGGTGCGCTGCTGCTGCTACAACCTGCTGTGTCACAGCCAGAGGTTAATGGTGCCATGTCATTATTTTTCTGTTAGAAACTACTGCGCTGTAATGCGAGCTTTTCATCACCGCTGTCGCTCTCGCCCCCCTACGCGACTAAATGATTGTCCCGGGGGGGGGGGGGGGGGGAGGTTCACTCGCCGTTGTTATCCAGCCCGTGGACATGCAATGTCGTCGCCCCGTGTGTGTACAGCCAACTGCACGCGGTATCACGGTTGTTCAAAAGAGACAAATGAACGTGACGATTTCCCCCCCCCCCCCCCATCTTTCTGAAAAACACATGGACCCATTTAAGCCGGCGCATGCACGCGCACACACACGCACGGCGACTGAGACTTAACACTTAGCGTTCAGCCGTGAGAGTCTTAAGACTACCGCGGCACGGGGGAACCGAGCTTGAAGCGCGGACTGGATGTTGCTATCTTTGAGGTCGCGATGGAATAAAGATGAGATCTAGAAACCGAGCTTGAAGAGTGCACTGGATGTTGTTATCTTTGAGGTCGCGATGGAATAAAAGATGAGATCGGGAAAACCGAGTTTGAAGCGCGGACTAGATATTGTTATCTTTCAGGTCGCGATGGAATAAAGATGAGACCGGGGGGGGGAAATCTTGAGCAACCAAATGGAAGAATAGAATTGGGAAATGGGGATGTGAGAGAGACAAATCGTCAATCTCCTTTCTTTAGCCATGTGAGAGCCCACTGCCTGTGGGTGTGTGTGTGTGTACGTTGAGCTTCTTTCGCGCCGTACGTAGCCGACCGTGGCACTCGTGTTGTCTTGCAATTGGTGCCGTTCAACCAGTTGTGAACCCATTCAGATCTGTCATTGCTTGTGATTGATGACCTTTGTTTAGGTCCACCGAGACTCTTGGTCCATTCCATACAATGCATCGTTTAATGTCCTCTGCGTAATCTCTCTCTCGAGAGAGCGGCTTTTCAAGTGATTGGTGTGGTTTTTCTTTTTAGCCAGGTGATAGTCAAGAGTGATTGGCCTTTTTAGGTGCAATGAACAGGCAAGTAGTGTGCATGTTTAATTTGCGGTAAATTTTAAAAGTAAAACATTTGGCTGCGGTACGTGAATATTTTGTGCGTGCCAAACCTACCCGTTGCAGGGCTGGGTGAGCAGATTGCGAGTTCGATTTTAGCATGACGGCAGGAAATCGTCGGGGCAAATGTATGTTCGTATAACACGTGGGCTTTCGTGACCAGTATTATCCGCAATGATTGGGATCCTATGATGGAATGCACATTATAAATCCGGAGTATTTATTCATTATTATTATGAAGGTTTTTTTTGGACATCACCTTTAGAACGCGTCAGGAGCAGTGGAGTTGTAGCGCCGTGTTTGTCGATGGGGCATTGCGTCGTTATACGTTGAATGGTCCGTTCTGGATGACCACAGCGGCACACTACTTCTGGAGAGATGTTTTATTTTCCATTTGTGCATCAGGTATCCGCATCTGCCATGGATTGTGTGGATGCAGTTTAAGCCGCATCTTGTGACGTTGATGATTAAAGTGACAATGATTGATGGCCATGATGATGATGATGAAAAAGGCGCCGGAGTTCAGGGAATCGAACTCAGGGGGCTGCCTGATATTGATGATTAAAGTGACGATAATTGATGATGATAGTGATGAAAAACGGGCCCGAGTCGGCGAATCGAACTCAGAGGGGGGGCGGGGGGGGAGCCCCCTTCTCTGCGGCGAAGACCCCGGGGGCTATTGCCACAGCTGCCCGTCCCCTGATGCTGGATGCCCCTTTCGGTCCCGCGCGTGTTTCTTTGTGGCGGCCGCAGGTCTACGAGACGCCCTTCTACGTGGCCGTGGATCACGACAAGAAGCGCGTTGTCGTGAGCGTGCGGGGGACGCTCTCGCTCAAGGTGCGCCTCCGGTGACGAACAATTCGCTTGCGCGCGTACACGCGCGCGTCAAAATGACCGCCCTCACGGTTCTCATCTCCCTCGGTGTCGTACGTTGAACTGCTCTCGCACCGTACGTAGCCATCTGTGCTCATCGGAAGGTGCGTGGAAGGACAACAAACTAACCACACAACTTAAAAAGATAATTCCGCCATCGCCGTGAAACGGTTTGCGTGGTGAGGCATTCTCTATCGCGACCGCGTGGCTGTCGCTGAGGCCAGGTGGGCGCTGCGGCGCGTCACACGCAGTGTCACCGGGGCACACGAGGCTTGAACCTGCCGTCGTTCCCGTAAATAGACGGCGTCTCTCCCGTCGAAACGCAATGGACACCATGCACTGGCGGCGGAGTGGACGGTGCAAACGACGTGTCGATGCTAAGGGAGAATGATTCTGACCCTTAACAGCACGCGCTCGTATCGGTGTGTTACCCTTCGGTACATCTTCTTGGTTCTTTTGGTAAAGTCACGTAGAAGGGAAGTAATAAAATAATAAAAATAAAACATAATAAAATAATTCTCACGACGTTTCGGCCACAACGCAAGCAGCCGTCCTCAGGTGAAGAACATGTCTGTCTAAGACTCTGTCTAAGACTTTGTCGACAGACATGTTCTTCACCTGAGGACGGCTGCTTGCGTTGTGGCCGAAACGTCGTGAGAATTATTTTATTATGTTTTATTTTTATTATTTTATTACTTCCCTTCTACGTGACTTTACCGAAAGAACCAAGAAGATGAACCCCTGCAGTCACGAAAGCTTTAAATCGAAACCCTTCGGTACGTTAGATCGAAGCGGAACAGTAGGTGATTCGATTGCTTGAGCATGACAAAGACACTTGGGTTGAATATTTCAAATTGGCCGTGATGTCAATCGGTGCATGCTCATGTACGGCTCGTTTGTCAATCCGCTGCTGGATGAGGGCCCCCTCCCTCCAACGCCGTGCAGGCCATGGGGGTGGGTTTACTTGACTATGCTTCACCGTGCTGCTCACTGTGGTGTTTGCTGAAGGTTGGGAGCATAGAAGTACTGTACAACAGTGGATATTGCTTCACGGAAGTCTCTTGCCCACCGTACAATTAATCATTGTTGTTTTTTAATGCTATATGCTGTCGTATTGTTCTATTTTTAATATATATTTTACAAAAATCAAGCTGTATATTTATTATCCACTACCCGGTCTCCACCTCCACAGCGCGACGCGTGGCTGTGTGCTTTGCCTCCTTCAGGATGCTCTCACGGACCTGACAGGCGACGCTGAACCCTTGCCGGTGGAAGGACATCCTGGCACGTGGCTCGGGCACAAGGTAGAGGGAGCTTTGCTGTTCATATCCAGTGCATCCCACGACAGGGTGAATTCTTCAGAGGGTGGCGGCAGCTTTTTTTTATTTTTACCAGGTAAGCCCCACCAAGATATTTAGCTCTGTTTTTCATTGAGCTATCATTTGTGGGCCACAAATGATAGCTCAACGAAGCGTGTGGACAATTATAGCAGCCATGCTGATTCTAAATGTGGAGGGAAAAAACCAGAGGACCCGGAGAAAAATCCACGTGACCATGGGGAGAACATGCAAATTCCAAATATTATACAGGTGTCAGAGTCTGGATCAAACCCACAACCTCCTGTATACCAGGCGATGGAGTTAACATCTCACCAATGTGCCGCCCCAGGCCTTTCTCACAGCGAGAATGGCCTGGGTCAGGGGTGGGCAACCAAAATAACAAGGAGAGACATTTTTTTCGAATTCGGTAAATAAAACGCTCAATATTTCAAGAGCCGCAATGCCATGTGAGTGCGAGATGGCGATCCTGAATAAATAACGTCACGAAGCAGTCGTTCAAGATATGTGGATAACGCTTTGGTTGTCTGGCCACATGGTAAAGATACACTTAATGCATTTCTAGATAATGTCAATTCGCAAAACCCAGCCATCCAGTTTACCATGGAAATGGAGGTGAATTACTGGATATTTTGCTCGGATGTGGCCAAAATGGTAAAATAACACACGGCGTTTACCGAAAGGAAATGCACACTGATGCCTATCGGAATGCAGATTCCCATCATCACCCTGCACAGAAATCCTCTCTCATCAAGACACTCATGCATCGGGCTAAAACAGTGTCAGATGGTGAACGTCTGAGGACGGATGGGTCCAGAGATCAGAGAGAGGTGGATTGCGTCACTATTCTGGCAAATCACCCGATGATGCTGGATGTATTTACCAGCGAAACATCGTACTCAAATTGAAAATGTCATGGATTTACTCTCCAACACACCATTTTATTAATTTACAAGTAATTGCAATTTTTACAAAAACTTCCCACGAAATGTCAACTGTTGTACGAATTCTTTACATTTATTCCAAATTTTTATAGTAACCCTCGGTTTTCTGAGAAAAAAATATGAGCCGCTGTTTTGTATCGGTGCAATGTGCTGCTGCGGCTTGCAACTTTGGGAGCCCGTAGGTTCACGCCGGCAAAGCTGGCCGTGTGGGTGAGATACCCACCGAGGGTTGTCGGGGTGCTGAGCCCACCACGGACACGACCTGGGGCCCGTGAGGCTCCAAATCCCAAAGAACCACGTTCTCAAGCAAACGTGCATGTGTCTGTGTGTGCGTGTGTGTGTGGGCTCAGCCTGGTCACAAGTGACTGCATCGAAATAAAACCCAGACTGGATAACTTCGCCAGGTGTGAACGATTGGGGGGAGCGGTAGTGAAGTGGTTAGCATGCTGCGCTATGATACTCGGAGACTCAAGTTCGATTCCCGCTCATGGCCAACGCCAGCGACGATTATCTGAGCCGGTCCTGGACCTCCCCTAGGTCAACAAAGGCGGCCGGACGTGGTGCTGGCCACCCACCCCCCCTCGTGTGCCGTGCCGGCCTCCATAGGTGCTCGCCAACAGCACTTGCCCCAACATTCTGTTACAGGCTGTACAGGGGGATATTTGTCTTTGGGCTCAGCCTGGTCACAAATGACCGCATCGAAATGAAACGCAGACTGGATTACTTCGCCAGGTGTGAGCCGGTTGCTGGTCACACGATCGAGGTGCGTTGAGCGATAAAAGCCGGTTGAATCGGTGGAACAAAAACAGTCTTGTCAATGCGCCGCCCCGTTGCACAAGTTCGAATGCAGGGCTTTACGCCGCGCCGCTGTGCTCTTAAGTCTGCGCCCGTGTTGCTGTGGCGAAGGAAGGCAGCACCGGCGTGTGATCCCGTACCTCATGCATTGCCTGTGTTGTGTCGCCTGTCGCTCTTCAGGGAATGGTTTTCTCTGCCAAGTACGTTAAGAAGAAGCTTGAAGAGGAGATGATTCTATCCCAGGCCTTCGGACGAGACCTGGTCAGTGCAGGTTCTTGCGCTCGAAAGTGTTTTGTTCAACGCGTTGCACCGCCACGTCTCAATTTGCTTCAGCAAGAGCTAACACGGCCATGAACAGTAGTTTCATCGATTTCAAACGAAACAAAACTATTTTTTTTTTTACCAGGTAAGCAATTGGATAGCCCCGCTGAAACTGAGTGACCGAACGATGAACACATGGATAGATCGTGTTGACTGCTGGGGATCAAACCCCCGGGTTTTCCCTCCACATGTAGCATCAACGCACGTTTCAAGTGTCTGGCTGATAACAATTTCCCCGTGATGCTAAGCCACTTCGTTGGGCCACAATTTGCGGCCAGGCCGCTTCTGATAAAATAGAGCTACACAGCTCGGCAGGCTATATAGCGTACCTGGTGTGTAAAAAAAAAAACGAGTTAAAAAAATTTACGAGTTTTAAAATAAGTGGCCCTGGGGTAGGCCACGGTCTACCCCAGGGGGATGACGCCCGCCGGCGGTGACGAACGACGGCGTGGGTCGCCACGGGGAGGGAACGTGCAAGAGGAGGGGGGGGGACGGCCACTCTGGAGAGTGATGACGTCGGCTCGTTTGAGCAGGAGCCACACGGGTGGATCCGTTGCACCGCGTGGCGCGTGTGAGAGTTTGGCGAGGGCTATGGTCGTGGGCGGGGGGAGTCTCTCACGATCTCACCAAAACAAACCCAATCACACCTCTACTGTGGATGATGTTGGTCACAAAAGCCTCACATGTTAAACTCGCTCACGGCAGTCAGAGCGCACGCCTGTCAACCCCTTATCAGTGCCCTGCCTTATTACAGACCAATTCAGACCTCATTGATCACCCCGTGCCCCTTATAAATATCAACGTTCATCCTACAAAGTCCCATCACAAGGGAAAAACACACAAAAATAAGACAAAAAAATGTTGCCCGCATTGAAACGGCTGTACGCCGTATGGACCTGAAAACTGAATTTCCCTGTATAAGACTACGGGGTAAACCGTATGGGTTGACAGGTACGGTAGTGGGGAGCGGTGGTGCCACAGCGGTTAGCGTGCTGCGCTGCGCTACGAACCCGGCGACCCAAGTTCGATGCCCGCTTACGGCCACCAACACCAGTGACGATTATTTGAACCGGTCCTGGGCCTCCCTTAGGTCGACTCAACCTCAAATGAGTGCGTAGTGCAGTGTGTAAAAATTATCGCCACTGGGAAGACAAAGGCAGTCAGGTGTGCGGCTGGCCACCCACCCCCTCATGTACCGTGCTGGCCTTCGTAGGTGCTCGCTAATAGCACTTGCCTCAACGGTCTGTTAAGGCTATAACAGGGGATCTTTGTATTTGTCTTAGTAAGTATGTTGAACTTATTTCGCACCGTACGTAGCCAATCGGTGCTCATCGGATGTGCGGGGGAAGGACAACAAACTAAACACAAAGAAAGCAGTTCTAAAGAAATGAGTTTTCAATTTCGATTTAAAAGTGAACACAGCTCCAGTGGCTTCCTAAAATCAGAAAGGAGAGCAGTTCCAGACGGCCGCATCTGAAAGCGCGCGATGGGGTGACCGCTTTGGTTCGATGGCTGGCCGTGTTAACGACACAGCGATGTTTAGCCGTGTTGACGACACAGCGATTCGTCGATTCAAATCTCCTCCCGCGCCCACGTTGCACACGCATCAAAGTCGCGTGCGTGGGAGTGCGTAATTTGCTATTTATGTAAATGATATTCGAATGTTATGCTAATGTCACACTTAGGCTAATGGAGGGGACAAACCCGAGACAGAACGAACAAAAAATCGACACTAAGGAGATGGTAGGAATGTGACAAAAAACCCCCATGGGTTTCTCGAATCGAAGCGTTGACCCCTAAGCCGTGACGGATCATCTAATTGCGGGGGCGACGAGTGACTTGTTAACGTGCCCTGGCGCGCTATCGCGTACAAATCACCGGTTTTAGTCGAATAAAAAACAAACAAGTGACTGCCGATGTACGCTTGCGAGTGCGCACGGTTGTTGCGGGGGAGCTCCCATAAATCACCGACGTTACCGCATTGCACCGCGTGCACGCCCACCGCTCGTCACGATGCTCGGCCACGCTCGTGTGGGTTCATACGGACTCCCGTGGCCCGTTGCGTAACGCAAGCCTCAAGTGATTCTTACCTCACGCGTGATGCCCTATCAGCCGTAAAGCAGTACTGTACCACCCGGGGGGGCGGAGAAAAGATCTGCACAAGTTCTTCCCCTCTCTTACACCTGCGGTTTTATGGGAATGGCAAGATCGTCGGCAGATTTTGTATTCGGCAGAGGCTTTTTTGGAATTTATATGGACGTCGAATAATTTTTTGTAGACCGGCTCGTTGGTGAGATTGAATGTCGAGTGTCAACCGACGTGTAGTTTTTTCTGGCATTCGCTGGGGGAAAAAATGGCAATCGCGATGGAAATTAACAGGGATTTCTCCATTTTATGCCAAACGTCAGCACGACTCCTCCTCTCGAGCCAGGGAGTGTGGGAAAGTCTGCCTGCCAGAATATAAATTAGGCCCTCTTTAGTCGTACATGAACATTTTTTTTCAACAAACGTCCAAACTTATGGTATATTGTTGATTTGTTTGTGTACGTGTGTTGTTGTTGGTGTGGAGCTACGTGTGTGTGCGTGTGGCGAGCGGTAGTGTAGCGTTTAGCGTGTCGCGCTATGAACCCCGCCGACCCGGGTTCTAATCCCGCTCATGGCCGACACCGACGACAATTATCTGAACCGGTTCAGCGCCTCCCCTAGGTCGAATCAGCCTCAGACGAGTACCTGGTGCAGTGTGTAGTAAACATTGCCACTGGGGAGACCAAGGCGGTCGGGCGTGGTTACTGGTCACCCACCCCCTCGTGTGCCACATATGTGCTGATACTCGCTAAAACAGCACTTGCCCCAACAGTCTGTTAAAAGCTATCGGGCGGAGGGGAGGTGGTGTCTTTGTGTGTGTGTGTAATCACTCTGTCTTGCAGGGCCGAGGCACGAAGCACTACCACCTGGTCATCGTGGGCCACTCCCTCGGGGCGGGAACCGCTGCCATCTTGTCCTTCATGCTCCGCCCGCAGTACCCCACGCTCAAGTGCTACGCCTATTCTCCCCCGGGAGGCCTTCTCAGGTGGCAACTCACAACACTGCGCACGAGACCAAGACAAAGATCACTCCACCCCCCCCCACCCAGTGTAGCCTTCACAGACTGTTGGGGCAAGTGCTGTTTAGCGAGTAGCTCGCGATGCGGTGACCATCTTTGTTCGATGGGCAGCCAAAAGTTGCTGCTGCGAGGATGACCAGAGTTGTGGTGATGGTTTGTGCTCCTTGACGAGATCGGAAAAGTATTGCGGTTCATTTGTGGCGTGCACTTTGTGTGTAATGAGTGCGACACCAAGAGACAGCGGCCTCGAGCGATGAGGGCCGCTCTGCCCCTGGCGACGTGTGGGGATGCGCGTTGGGTGCGATGGGATGTGAACATGGGGAAGAGTTGTGGACTGGTGGATACAATGTCCGTCGATTTCCGTAACATTTACAAAAACGAGCAAAGCTGTTGGCAAACATTTTTCTCAGCCTAAGGCCCTTCGCAATTATACTTTCCTTTAGAATTTTATACATATATATTTTTAAATGCTTTCACAAATGACAATAAACGACAGTTGACAATGTGGAAAGGTATTGCGATGGAGCGAACACAGATGGAACACTTGAAAAAGGTACCAAATACTGGAGAGAGAAACAAAAAACACGTGAAAAATGATTTAACTCGCAGCCAGCAAACACGGCGGCGGCAAGTGTTGCTGAAATCAACTTTCAGTGTAAAAATACCCCAAAACAACCGGAACGCATTGGCAGTGCGCTTTAACGGGTTCGAATGACCGTGCTGGCAAGTGCTGACTGTCCTCACGTGAACCCAGGCAGCGGATCAGTGCTCTGAGCCACCCGGCCACCTCTGCCGCCCCCCTTTTGTTGTGAAGTGAGCTCTTGCAGGGCCGGCTGCTATGGTGATAGCCTGTTAGGAGCACCGTAAGTCGATGCCGAGAAAGTCTATCACGGTCTGAGCAAATACATATTTTTTTAGGTAATTGGTTGCCGCTGTGGCAAGATATTAACTACCTCGCCTGGTATGTAGGAGGTCGTGGTTTCGATCCCGACCCTAACACCTGTATATTTGGAGTCTGCGTGTCTCTCTCCCCGTGGTGGCGTGGATTTTTCTCCGGGACCTCCGCTCTTTCCCTCCACATTTCGAATCAACAGCAGGCGTTGAGAGTGCTTGGCCTGTGTAAATTTCCACGTGATGACGAGCCACTTCATTGAGCTATCATTTGTGGCGAGGTCGCTTCTGAAAAAGTGCTAGATAGCTCAGTGAGCCTTACCTGGTATGAAATAAAAGAATTTTGTTTTATATTCTTGGTTCTTTCGGTGAAGTCACGTAGAAGGGAAACAATAAAATCATAAAAATATAAAACAATTAAATTCTCACGACGTTTCGACTGCATCACAAGCAATCATCATCTTGCAGGGCTGGCAGGTGATGATGATTGCTTTCTGTTGCAGTCGAAACGTCGTGAGAATTTAATTGTTTTATATTTTTATTATTTTATTGTTTCCCTTCTACGTGACTTTACCGAAAGAACCAAGAATACGAATCCCTGCAGTCACGAAAGCTCTAAATCAGAATTTTGATTTAGTTTATTTTCAATAATTATTTTACTGACTTCGAGTTCGTCACCCACCGACATAGTCCGGTGCCATCAGTGTGTGGGCACAGGGCCTCGCACGGTCGGTATTTGGCGCTGAAATTTTCGGCTGCGCACGGCTTCTCTAGCAGAGGCAACACCGGGGGCAGATGAGGCATCGTCTGCCCTTTTGCCAGAGACGCAGTTATTCCTTTGATTTGGCCCGTGGACACAATTAGTGGCGTAATTGCGGATAGAAGGGAAACGTACGAATTAATGTTGAACTTCTTTCGCACCGTACGTCGCCAATCGGAGGTGCGAAATAAAGAGGACACCCACCACCATCACGGAAATGGAGTTATGAGATGGTTTGACGTGCAGCCGTGAGATCGGAGTTTGGCATCACAGGGCCATTAAGGATGATGATGGTAGACGGCGTGGGGGTGCCTTCCTACAGCAGCGGATAAATCGAGGCTGATGATAAATCCGTGTTATGCTGGAGAGGCGTCCAGGGGAAGGGGTGTAAGTCACGCTGTGCGGTTTGGGGTGGGGGGGCCTCGTTTGGTGTGGGGGGGGGGCATTGATTATTCAGTAGAAATACAAAACTTATTTTACCAGGCAATGCCCACTGAGCTATATATAGTGATTATGCACGCCGAGGGAAAAACCGGAGCGCCTGGAGAAAAACCCACGCAACCACGGGGAGAGAGAGAGAGACACGCAAACTCCAAATATACATCAGCAGGCGTCAGGGTTGAGATCGACCCCACGACCTCCTGTATGCCAGACGAGTTAACATCTCGCCACCGTGGCGCCTGTCATCATCATGCAGTCGTCACATCATCAGCAGCCACAATCCATTCACTGCTGGATAAAAATTATTCCCAATTAATTTCGTCACAATTCCTTGCGATGGCAATGCACAGCCATCGCTAATGGTCTCAACTATGTCTGTAATGATGAAGGATAGAGCTCGAATCGCCATAATGACACGGCATGGGGGAAGCCTTCATCCAGCATGCAATTGGCAAAGGACTCGAATAAGTTATTACTACTATTATATTGCCTACTAGCGGAAGTACCCGGCTTTGCCCGGGTGAAAAATATCTTTCTTAAAAACCTTACATATATATACACAGATACTAAGGTATTGTCAAAGCCCGGTGGGCTGTTTGTACATTTTTCCACCAACAAATATATAAGAGGCTTTCACAAGTCCAAAAAGTTGTAGAAAGTGTGGGGTAAATAGTTGATGTCAAAATGTTTCCGAAAATTGTGGTCTCCCCCCCCCCTCAAAAAATATCTTTACCCCTCGTAGGTATATATACTAACAACACCTTACATACAACAGAGGAAGTGGTATCTATTGACTTTGTAGTAGTATCTACTGACTGTACCGTAGTATCTACTGAGCCAGTAGTAGCTACTGACTGTGTAGTAGTATTTAGTGACTGTAATAACTACTGACCATAGTAGTATTTACTGGGCCTACAGTAGTATCTACCGACTATATACTCGTAACGACTAACTGTATAGTATCTGCTGACTCTATAGTGTATCCACTGACTATAGTAGTAACTACAAAATCTATAGCAGTATCTACTCACTCTATAATAGTATCTACTGACTCTAGTAGCTACTCACCGTAGCAATATGTACTGACTGTATAGTAGTATATACTGACTGTAGCAGTATTGACTGACTGTAGTGGTATATACTGACTGTTTTAGTATTTACTATAGTGGTATCTACCAACTCGATAGCAGTATCTACTATCGCTACAGCAGTGTATACCGACTGAGGTCGTACCTGCTATCACTACAGCAGTGCATACTGCTGTGTTGGTACCTATTATGATGACAGCAGTGCATACTGACTGTGGTGGTACCTGCTATGATTACAGCAGTGCATACTGCTGTGGTGGTATCTGCTATGATGAGAGGAGTACATATTGTGGTGGTGGTACCTGGTATGATAACAGCAGTGCATATTGACTGTACTCATCATTCACCCTCACCATTCACCACTCACAACTCACCCTTACCACTCATCCTCACCACTCCCACTCACTATTCACCATTCACCCTCACAACTCACCACTCACCAACCTCCCTCACCAATCTCCCTCACCACTCACCCTCACCACTCACCCTCACCACTCACCCTCACCACTCACCAATCACCACTCACCCTCACCACTCACTCTCACCACTAACCCTCACCACTAACCCTCACCACTCTCACTCACCACTCTCCCTCACCACTCACCACTCACTCTCACCATTCACCCTCACCATTCAGCCTCACCACTCACCCTCACCACTCACCCTCACCACTCACCGTCACAACCACCACTCACCCTCACCACTCAACTTCACCCTCACTACTCACCATTCATCCTCACCAATCACCACTGACCAATCACCACTCACCACTCTCCACTAACCCTCACCACTCAACCTCACCACTCACCCTCAAAACTAACCACTCTCTCACCACTCACCCTCACCACTCAGCACTCACCCTCACCACTCACCCTCACCACTCACCCTGACCACTCATCCTCACCAATCACACCCTCACCAATCACCACTCACCCGCACTGCTCACCCTCACCACTCACGCTCACCCTCACCACTCACCCCTCACTAATCACCACTCATAACCGCCACTCACCCTCACCACTCACCACTCACCCTCAACACTCATCCTCACCACTCACCGTGACCATTCACCCTCACTACTCACCACTCATCCTCACCAATCACACCCTCAACAATCACCACTCACCTCACAACTCACCCTCACCACTCACTCTCACCACTCACCACTCACCCCTCACAACACCACTCACCCT